AAAACAAACAAATATCCAAACATACCTGGCGAGCTACTACGCCTCCATATAATTTTTTAAAATTTCTTTTTCCCGCGCCTTGTTTCTTTAATTTTTAGTGACGACAATGAATTTTAATGAAAATATTTTTGAAAATAAAATTTTAGTTATTTATTTTTTAATTAATTAATTAAATAATTTAATTTATTTAATATTTAATTACTTCCATAGGTAATTGAAAATAATTTTTTTTTGATAATTATGTTTGTTTTTATTTACATGATTTTTTGGATCTACATAATTATAAAAGATTAATTATTAAAAAAAATTAAAAAAAATTTATTTTGGACTTTTTTATAAAAATACTAACTTAAAAAATAAATTAATTTTTAAAATTATTATTTTTTTTAAATTTTTTTTGACTATTTTAAAACATTCGCCCTCTCCTCTTTTAGCTTCATATAAAATTTTGAGAAAATAATTTTTTAACAAAAAATATATATTATATATTTATTTGCATATTTATTTGTCCTTTTTTTGCATAAAATAATTTAAATAAATAAAATATATAAATTAATTTTTATGTAAATTTTTATTAATTAAATTTTATATTAGAAAAAAGAACTTGGAAGTATTTTTATTAAATTAAAAAAAGATAATTAACCAATATATAAAAGTATATATTTATTTTATATGTAAATGACGCGATCTTTAATCTAATAAAAAAATTAAACTTAAAAAGAATTGTCACTTTTATTTTAATTTTTTACTAAAAAAAGAAAGAAAAAATTATTTTTAAAAGTCTTCACCAATTAATTTAATCATCACCTTTACAGAGACTATTTTTTTACCTTTTCTTCGAAGCCCTTTTACACGAATTTTGTGTATTCACGCAATTTAGTATAAACTATAGTCTAAAATATTCTTTAGAGTTTATAACAAAAAACGGAAATGATTTTTAAAAATTTTTTAATTATACAAGAAAAATTTTTTTAATTATTGAATAGCTTTGTTTGTATATTAAATTTTGTTTAAATATTTTTTGTATTAATTCATTACTTTAATTTAATAATCGGTACTTTTCCGTTCTGCCACACCCCCCTAAATTAATGCTCAAAATGTCATATATAGGGTAAAAAAATGTGCTGAGTCCAACGGTACCACTCTTTTTCCCCGGAGATGCCTTTGGACCAAAATATTATTCTCGAAATGGTCAAAAACCATAGGGGGGAGTAGGCTCAATTTTGGGATAAAAAATTTGAATATGCAAATAATACCTCATTCGAAAGAGCTCATGGAGCTGAGTCGAAAGACATCAAAATCACCGCGGTCTAACAAGTTTGGACCAAGTTACGATACAAAAATGTGTGTGGTTCTTTAATTTTCAGGGACCTGTATCTCGGTCAAATCAAATAAGATTTCGTTGATTTTGATGTCTTTCGACTCAGCTCCACGAGCTCTTTCGAATGAGTTATTATTTGCATATTTGAATTTTTTATCCCAAAATTGAGCTATGGTTTTTGACCATTTCGAGCATAATATTTCGGTCCAAAGGCATCTCCGGGGAAAAAGAGTGGTACCGTTGGACTCAGCACCTTTTTTTACCCTATATATGACATTTTGAGCATTAATTTAGGGGGGTGTGGCAGAACGGAAAAGTACCTAATAATCATTTTATCAATTTCCGTTATTTAAAAATATTCAAATTTCAACAAAATATATAATACTCGAATATTTTAATATAAAACCTGTAAATCATTTTTCTAATTTTTAATTTTTTTAACAGGGAATATATTAAATAAATGTTTTTCTCCAAAATTAACTTCCCCTCCTTCCCTTCAATTCCCCAATATTTACGTTCTTCTCTATTTTTTTCTTCTTCAATATCTTCTTCATTTAATTCTTCAACAACAACAACTTCATTCAACAACAATTTAAATCAAAAATCAAAATCCTCCTCCTTTCATTCTCCCCCAACTCCCTCCCCCTCCTTCCTTTCTTCCTCTCCTTTTTGTTTAAATTCTTTTAAAATTCCCCAAAAAAATTATCAACGAATTAATTGTTTCCCTCCAACATTTTTATTTCTTCAAATAATTATTGCAGCTTTGATTATTCCGATGATGGCTAATGCAGAGACTGAAAATCCTTTACCAAATGATTTTGAAGAACACCGAATTTGGTTTTTATTTTCCATTAAAATAAAATGACGAATTTTTTAAATTTATTTTTAAAATCTTTTTGGGAAAGTTTTTTTGCAGAAATATTTCTTAATTTAGAAAATTATTTTCTTTCTATTTTGGAACTTGGAAGAAATTATTTTTAGAAAAATAATAAAAATAATTTTTTTGTAAGAAAATACATATTTAAAAAATTTTTTTGAAAAATATAATAAATAAAATTATTTTTAGTGGACGCCTCTTAATTAATGCACTAAAGACTGTATGTAATCATCAATACCTACAACCTACTCGAGGTACTATTTTATTTTTCTTAAGGAAAAAGATTCCTTTAATAATTAATTTAAATGCCGTTCTCTGGAAAAAAATTTTTTGTTTTAAATTTCTCCACTCTTTGAGTTTAAATTTTTTGATTTTTAAAAATAATAATTTAAATATTCTAAATTTCATCCTTAATAAATAAAATAGGAAGTAAACTTTTTAAAATATTTAAATTTAAAAATAATTTTTTTTGATACCTACCAATTTAACAAAATTTTAATTTATTACGTAATTTAAAATTATTTAATTTTAATATTTAAATTGTTACATTTAAATATTAAATTAAAATACACGTTAATAAAAATTATTTTAATTTTTCTTTACTAAATATGTACTCTATATTTAAATTTAATAAGTTCAAGTCCAAATATTTTTTCTTTCTTTTCTTTTTTTATTAATAGTTCATATGTATATAAAAATAAATTAATGGCAGGTCGTGCCATTCTCTAAATAATATTTTTTCTTCCAAAAAGTGTGGGTATTCAAAGAATGGCATATAAAAAAGTTTTTTGTTTTTAAGTAAATAAATGACATTTTTTGGTGTTTTTCTTTTAAAAAATTATTTCCCTATTGGTGGCATTGATAGAAAAACAAAATGAGAGAAAAGACAAAAGTATCCCTCTCCCCTCTCCCCCCTTGCCCCTCCCCCTCCTCCTTCCCCTCTAAATTGGTCACAAAAATTTATTATTTTGTTGGCGATTTACTATTGCACTTCTAAATTCTTTACTTTTTTTAATGGGAAAATAAAAAGGCCTTGAAAGGTTAACGGAAGTTAAGAAAGGAAAAAACAAAAAAGTAATGATCGTTGAAAAACAAAAAATTAAAAAAAACAAAAATTAATTTTTAAATTAAATTGGGGATAATCTAAAAATTCTTAATTTTCAGAACAACTTTACGATAATTACTACAAAAATACCGGAATGGTATTTCGTGCAAGACGAGCTTCTTCTTCGATTTCTGAAATTGTTGGTGGAGGAGCTTCGAGAAAGAGACGAGGAATTATTTGGGAATGCTGGTAATTTATTTAAATTTTTAAAAAAGAAAAAAACTTTTTTTTTATTTTTGTCCTTTTATTTGTTTTAATTAAAATTTTAAAAATTAAATTAACAATTAAATTTAATCCGATTTTTAAAAGAACAAAAAATTATTTTTTTTAATATTAAACAAAAATAAAGAAACCTAAAAAGTTTTGTTTTACCACCTTCACTTTTTAATTTATTAAATGTCTCCTTATTTGGAGATATACATATTTAATTAAATTTATAAATCCACACTTTTAAATTAAAAATTGAACAAAAATGGGAATTGTTACAAATTTTATAATTAAAAATTAAAAGTTTAATTGAAGCCTTAAATAATTTTATTTTTAAATTTTTATAAAAATATTATTAGGGACTGAGACAAATTTAAGAAAAAAATATTTTTTTAAATATTTATTTATTTCTTTTTCAGCACAAATAAATGTTCTTTAAATTATATTCGGAATAATTATTGTGCACCTGGATCTGTGGGTGGTGATGAAGCACTTCCATCGTGGCAATTTGTTGAAGATGTTCGACGGAGGAGAAGATAATAAACTTTAAACAAAAAAATTGTTGGAAGGATAGATTTAATTGGTAAATAGAATTCTGAAAAATAATTCGAAAAAATTTTTTTTCAATTTTTAGATCAGAAGAATTAAAAGACTTCAAAAACAATTTTCTTCTTCTCTTCCTCCTTCAAAAAAATATTTTATATGTACATATTTTCACTCTCTTCTAAATGTTGTTGCTTCTGTTCTTTCTCGACATAATACAAAAATTCTGTTTTTTTTCCTTCTCCCAAAAAAGAAGTGTGCACCTCAGAAAAACAAATAAACAAAAGATAATCAGAAATTCTGTTTTTTTTAAATTTCATTCCTTTTCTTTTTTTAATTATAATATATAGTTTAATAATATATTCCAATTAATATATATTGAATTTTAAATGTTTTAAGTACAAAATTTTAAAAATTTAAATTCTAAAATGAAACTTTACATATTATGTATTATTTTAATATTTTTAAAAATTTTTAATTATAATTAAAATGGGAGAATTCTTAATGAGTCAATAAGGAAGTGAAGAAAAATTGAGGGAAAACTCTGAGGAACTTCATGAGAATACCCATTATGTAAAAGGTATGAAACTACAATATAGTATGTTGAATCTCGTTACACAACTCTTTCCATTTCCTATCACAAATATTAAACATTACTTGATCTAAATTTAATTATACTAAAGCTTTAAAAGTTTTTTTAAAAAATTATTTCTGTCCATTTAATTATTTAAAAATAATATACAAAATATGTATAAACAACCACATAACCTTAAATTAACATTAAACCACAAATGTTAATTATGTTAATATTTAGAAAAAAGTTTTCCTGTATTCAATTAGTATTTACATATTTAAATTTAATTAATATAATTTATTTTTTATAAATTAGAATTATTTAAATATTTTGTAAAAAATTAAAAAGTGGAAAAAAATATTTAAATTTATTTTCAAATATTTCCTTGCCTTTCTTCATTTTCTTTCATATTTGGAACAAAAAAATTTAATGGTTGATTCATTGTCTCTACAATTAACTCTTTTTCTGCATAATTATCGAAATCCACAGAATCCCCAGAAATTGTTAATTTACGTAATTTTGGCTTAAAATTAATTTACTAAATATTTTTTTAATTTAAAAAAAATTACCGGAATATCAGTAAAACGCAAAACAATTCTTTTTGCTTCAATATTTGTCTCAAAATTATCAACAATAGAATCTCTATCAAAATTATTTTTAGTAAAATTTGTCCTTTTCAAAGCTTCCCTTAAAGTTCCCAACATTCCAATTGTCGTAAATATTTTTAATTTTAATTTACTTGAATTCTTTTTTTAAATAAATATTTATTTTTAATTTAAAATAAAGAAAACCTCTGACTGTTCAGCATTTAAACGAACATCTGTTCCACTAACAGCAATAGAATTAATCTCACCACAAGATGGATTTTCCTTTTCAATTAATTTTGTCAATTTTGGATCTAATTTAAAGAAAATTAATTTTCTATTATAAAAAATTATTTTTTAAAAATAATCTAACAAAATAGTTGGAATTGAAAACTTCCAAAAAATTATATAGATTATTAATCGAATTAAGGTTAAGTTTGTACTAAAACAGATTTTTACCAAAAAATAAAAACATTTTGGAAACTTTTAGAAAAGTAACCCCCCTCACCCAGTTCATATTCAAAGATTATTTAAAAAGAAACCCCTTAATCCACTTATTTTCTCCAAAAAATATTAACAATAAGTACCTTTTACTTTATTAGAAGTCCCAAATATCCACGTCAAAAAACCTCCATTGTCTTTAGGTATTTCAATACATTTACGGCAACCAGGACAAAACTTTTCATAAGCAATTTCTACTCTAATTGGTGCTTTTGGTGAAATCTTTAAATTGTTAAAAAATTATTTTAAAATTAAAAAAACCTTAAAAAATTCCCAAAAATAAGTAAAATAACTGCTGAACGGACCCATCCACCAGAATTTGGGTATTTTAAGTTCGCAATGTTCAAACCACCCCAAAGCAATTTCTGACAAAAAATAATTGACAGAAGGTGAAGGAATTGTTGTCGAAATATTTTCCGTTTTTTCTTTCACTTCTTTATCAGAAATATTCTCCAATTTACAACAAATTGGATAAAATTGTTTTTGTTTTCCTTCAATTAAAGCCATCACACTTTCACAACAAAGACGGACATTACTTTTCGAATCTTTTTTTTTAATTAAAAAAATTATTATTTTTATTTAATATTTAATTTTACCTACACTTTCCTTAATAAATCCAAGAATTGAAAATGTTTTATTTCTATTTCCACCAGGAAATATTCCAATTGGGGGTTGGTCCTCGATTTTTGTTTTTTGTAAAATCCCGTTGAGAGCATGACAAATAGTGCCATCACCACCAACAAGAAAAATACAATCTGTTTCTTTGTAATCAATTGTCCGAGCAATATTTTCCATTTCTGATTGAGAGGAAACCTTTTAAATGTAAAAAGTCAAAAGAACAAAAGGTTTTTCAGCTAATTTTTACTAAAATTAAAAAATTAATTATTCGTCTTTTCTCAAGCGAAAAATTAAAAATCTTACATTTATGACGTTAATATCAAGTCCAGCCAAATTAAGTAGAGGCAATCCATTTTTATTAAATATTCGAGCAGCATGTTGTCTTTTAGCTTCCTTATTAATAAGAACAACAACCTTTCTTAATTTTTGAGTTGGGTGGATTGGTACTGCTCCAAATTGTTTTGCTTTTTCTCCATAAAAACGTCTAACTTCATCATCCCTAAGAAAATATCAAAATAAAATATTTATCTAAATTAAAACTTTATTTTTGAATTAAGAGCATTTCCACCAGATATGGCCACAACAAGAGCAAAAATTGATTTCTTTTTGTGTCGAAAAATAGCTTCAGTAAAACGTTTTAATTTTAAACTCATTTTTCTTAAAATATTCAGAGAAATTATAAGAAAATTGGGAGAATAAACGCTTTCAAAGGCATGGCCAAAAATTTTTAATTGGATTTTTTAATCTCCCCAGACCTAATATAGTAAATAGACAAAAATTCAAGGAATAAACAAATCCATTCTATACATTTTAGAAGTTAAAATAATCATTTTATTTATAGCAAAATTTAAATTAAATCCAAATTAAAACATTGACAAGATAAATCAAAATGAGAAGAATTGGGAAAAATAGAAAAAGAGGAAAAGAATATGGCAGGAAATTAAGGCAAAAAATTAAATTAATTAATTAAATCAAAAAAATTAAATTAAAATATTTTAACACAAGAGATTTTCGACTAAATTTAAATATTTAATTCTTAAAGCAATAATTTAATTCACTCATTCTCATCTGTAACGCCACGAAGATTGTATTTAGTCCCGGGAGTTCTAAAAAATATTTTAAAAGATTAAAAGTCATTTTAATTTAAAATGGTATTTAAATTTTGTAGTGGTTCAAAACTTCTTACAATTAACAATTAAATTAGAAATAACATAAAATTTCCCAAATATTTATATTCTTAAAAAATAATAAAATTTAATTACCTCGCTTTGTGGATCTCAGCCTTTTCCTCCTTCACCATTTGAAGCAATTGACGCTCAAAATCATAAATTCGCCATTTAGAGGGATTCATATCTCTCCTCTTCTTAGCTACAGGCTTGTTCTAAAAATTTTTATTCTTTTTCATTAAAATTATTTTAAAAATACCTCATTATTTTCTGGATTGGGTTTACGACCACGCTTCGCCGGTAATTTTGTAGTAGATGGAAGAGCAGGCTGAACTGTCGAAGTAGATTGAATATTTGGTCCTTCTTGTCGTATAAGGTTCTTCTTGTTATGTTCCTTCTTATTGGAAGAAATACATTTGTCGACTATTTGAAGTAAAATATTCCCAAATTCGCGCATAGCCTCAACAGATATCAGATTCCCAATGTGAACTAAAATGAAAATAATTTTTTTTTCAAAACAGCATCGTGAATAAAGCAAAAATATACCATTAATGATATTCTGCCCATTTGTTCCGGTTTTATCTTCAACTGGAGCACGATTTGCAGAAACACTTTCACTGGCATCAGTCTCGTTTACAATGGTTGTGTCAAAAGTTTGCTCCAATGGAGTAATATTCCCTTTCTCTGACATTGGAGTTCTACCCCGTTCAGAAAATGTCGGAGTTCTCGCACCTTCAGATTGTTTTGACCATTCCTCATAAGATTTAATTGTAACATATCCAGCCACCGCAGAACAAAACGAAATTACTTCATCTTGAGAGACAAACTTTACACGAAATTTATAACGAATTGAACCATCAATCTAAATTATATTTTTAAGTGAACGATAATTTAAATAAATTGTAAACCTGATCCTTGATACAGAAAAGAAGCCTGGTCTCCTTACTAATGAGATCATGAGAAAAAAGCAGCGGATGAATGCAAAAAGTCTCGAGCTCCCGATAATTGTGATAAATACAAATCATTTTGTTGACCTGTTCTTTGAATTGAATAATAAGACGATCATCCGGACCACAATCAACAGACTAAAAATATAAAAATTGTTAAGAGATTTGAATAAAAATAACCAAAGGCTGCTTGCGAGAATCTTGAAGACGATTATATTTTTCCAAATACCAAGTATTATGTTGTCGCTCTTGATCCTTCCAATGTAATAATTGTAAAGGATTATGGGTAGGAAGAGGTACAGATGCAGAAGGAAAATAACGCTTAAAACTTTCGTTCATAACTACCTAAATGTAAAAAATAGAAATACACTTTAAAAATCTAGATAAAATAAAGTAAAAGAGCAATTTACATTAGTGATAGACCCAGTACGTGATCCGGGCATCTTTCACGATCCCCGGATCGGTCCCGGATTAGGTTTTCTAAATCCAATCAGAATCCGGAAAAAAATCTGGCGAAATATATTTTTATAAATTGCGACAAGAAGCGCCAACTCAAAATTTATACACTATTTCTTACTTTTTCACCCTCTTTATTACGAATTGGTAATAAAATAATGGTCAATTTAGAAAAAGTTACAAAATGGTCATTAGTGAAAAATGTTTTGTTATTCCTCTGTATATTTAAAATTTTTCGAAAATTTAGGCAAAATCCGATTAATCCTACAAATCAAGATCTTTTAGATATTGTCTTATTTCAATTAAAATGGCTTCTGCATCGACCGACAAACTTGATGTTTCTGTAGATGGCAGTTCCAACAAGGAACAACTCAGTGCTAAAGAAAAAGCTTTACACAATTATGTTTTCAGATCAATGAAGAGAGCACATGATATGTTTTTGTATGATTATGATGTTTTTCCAGAAAACAGCGAAAAAGCGTTTGTTTCTATTTTTGGGTTTATTTCAAAATTTGTTTTTAGTGAAAAAATTTGGAGAAACACGAAAATTAGAAGCAGTTTCTCACATGTAATCAAAGCAGTTGAAGAAACTAAAAGACGTAGAGCGGAAGAAGTACTTCGTCTACCAAAAAGCAACAAGGAAGGAATTGCTGCTGTTGTAGCAAATGAAAGTTTGTTTTGAAAAATTATTAAAAATTTTATATTAGTTTCTTGACATTTTTAAGCGTGTAATTATAAATTACTTATTTTATAATTTTCCGAAAATCAAATAGTTTAATTAAATTGTGAAGAATTTCCAACAATTTAGGTAATCTTAAATTTTCAGATGTACCTCTAGCGATCACCGATGGTTCATCAAAAGGAGAAAAACAAATTTCACTGATTGAACAAAAATCAAATGACGGAACTGTTCGCGCTTTACTACCTTCTCGTGCAAATTTAATTACAAAACCAAAATGGCATGCCCCTTGGAAATTATATAGAGTGATTTCTGGTCACACAGGTTGGGTTAGAGCTGTGGATGTTGAACCAAATAATGAGTGGTTTGCTACTGGTGGTGCTGATAGAATTATTAAGGTTATGTTTTTTAATTGGAAGATTTTTAATTCTTTTATTAAAATTTTTTATTTGAAATTGTAGTATTCCTAAGGCTTATTTCTTTACTTTTATATCATGCTAGCTAGAGTGTTTTTCTTCATTTCTAATTAAAAATTTTTTTAGATTTGGGATCTTGCCAGTGGTCAATTAAAACTTTCCCTAACTGGTCATATTAGTGCAGTGAGAGCAGTAAAGGTTTCGCCAAGACATCCTTATTTGTTCAGTGCTGGTGAAGATAAGCAGGTTTTTAATTTTTATAAAAATATTTATAACTTTAAATTTAGGTTAAATGTTGGGATTTGGAACAGAACAAAGTTGTTCGCCATTATCACGGTCATTTGAGCGCTGTTCAAGATTTGGCTCTTCATCCAACTCTCGATATTTTGGTTACTTGTGCTCGTGATTCTACTGCTAGAGTTTGAATTACAAAATAATTAATTTATTATGAAGATTGTTTAAAAATTAAGGTTTGGGACATGCGTACAAAAGCCCAAATATTTTGTTTGAGTGGTCATCGTGACACAGTTGCTTCAGTTATATGTCAAAGCTCAAACCCTCAAGTTGTTACTGGCAGCCATGATTCAACTATTCGCTTGTGGGATTTGGCTAGCGGGCAAAGTGTTTGCTCATTAACTAATCATAAAGTTAATTTTTTCACCAAAATTATTTTTTTATTTTTTAACTTTTAGAAAAGTGTTCGTTCTCTAGCACTTCATCCAACTCTTAATATGTTTGCATCCGGTTCTACAGACAACATCAAATTATGGAAATTCCCGAATGGTGATTTTATGCAGAATCTTAGTGGTCATAATACAATGATTAATTCTTTGGTGATAAATGAGGATGGTGTTCTTGTTTCTGGAGGTAATAAAATATTTGGTTTAAATGTAGGGAAGAGCATTGCTTTTTTATGCAGTGGGGTGATCTGATTTTTAAAACACATTTAATATATTTTCAAAAAAGGTGATGTCGGAACAATGCATTTTTGGGACTTCAAGTCCGGATTTTGTTTTCAAAAAGAACATCCACCTCCACAGCCTGGATCAATTGATTCAGAACGTGGAATTTTTGCGCTATGTTTTGACAAATCAGGATCGCGTTTGATAAGTGCTGAAGCAGATAAATCTATAAAAATGTGGAAAGAAGATTTGGATGCGGTGAGTGAAAGTTTTTTTAAAAAATTATTTTGTAACAACTGAAAAAACTATCCAAACAAATTTTCGATAATTTACTAAAAGTTTTAAAATTAACAACTTCATTTATTTCTTTTCAGACAGAAGAAACACATCCCCTAATGTGGAGACCTGAAATACTCAAAAAGCAACGTTTTTAACTGATAGAATATTCAAATATATTTTTGTTTTCAATTGTACATTTATTTGTTTTTATTCAATTCTACTCCAAATTTAAAAATAAATAAAGGTAAAAACTATATATAATCAAATAAATTGGAGGGGAGGAATGGGGAATATATTTATAAATATAACCCGTGAAATGTGTAAATTTTAAATAATAGGATTGAATTCTTTTCCAGATTTTTTGGTGTTGATTTAATTCTAATTAAGTATTCTCGTTTGGTAGAAAATAAGAAATAATTGGCATAGTTGCGAGTTTTCCTTTTATTTTTAGCCGCAAAATTGAGAAAAGTGCTGAAAATGTGGCAACAAATAAATAACTGCATTCAAATATCGTTGTAGCCATTCCAATCATTTTTCGTTCCAATGGTGTAATTTTGGAAAATTCTGATTCTCCTATTTTAGCCTATAATTTTAAAATTATATTAAATTCTTTTAGTAGGAAAGGTACTTTTTGTAAATGTTCAAATAAATTCCATGGTCGATTCAAATTACGATTTTGTTGTTGTCGTTGGTGGTGTTGATGATCATCTTGCCATTGATGACCAACAAAGTGTTGGGACTGGCGTTCGGGTGTAATATCGGGTAGTGGGCGAAGGCACATTTTAATGTAGTTATTTTTTTAATTTAAGGTCTTTTCATTAAATTTTATAGAATTGAAATATGAAAAGTGAGTTTGTAAATCTCTTGGCGATGGGGGTGGAGTGATACAGCTAATCCCTGTTAAAATTGTTATTTTATGTATTACACCTTCACATTATGAAATGAAATAACAAATATTTATAAAAGCACGAGGGAGACTTGTTTGTTTATCGGTAACATCATTTGTTTACTAAATGGAAACAAGAGTTAGGATATATGGGAAAACAAAGAGAAAGAAAAAAGATTTGTTTGTGTTTTGAAGCTGTCTAAAGCAATCTAAAATAAACAACTTAAGCTTTTTTTAACACTCGTGAACGGGATATAATAATAGTGTAGGAAGGAAAGGAGGTGATTGTTTTCATGTTTAATTGTGAAATAAATTCGTAGCATTTAACTCACGTTTTTTTGTTTCTCAATAATGTTTTTGTTTATATTTCTTATACTTATGTAAGCGACAGAAATTAAAAGTGACTAGGAGGAAATCAAACCATTTTTCAGTGAAATTACCGGATAATTTTTTTAAAGTTTAGCACTAACTGTCACTCACATTATTCTATTAATAGGTTGGAAAGGAGAATAAAATATAACAAACAAAATTTCAAAGAGAAACGACTAAAATCAAAAAATAAATTCAAAATTATATATTACATTTTTAGTCACTTTTCTGTCATTTTTCTTTTATCATTTTTCTCGAGAAAAAATATTTTTTGTAGAAAACGTGTGATATTTTGCAAGAAAATATTAGGTTGTCATTTAAAAGAATGTATAATTTTGTGCTGTTTGTTGGTCGAGAACACGTGAAAACCAAACGAACATTTATTTAGAGAGAAGGAAAGACAAAAATAAAAGTGATGAAAAAGGGAATTTCCGAACGTTTAGAAAGGATTCGCCGAAATAATTTATTTTTGCCGCGTGTTTCTTCGTCGATTAAATAGTGGCGTGTTCAATCCTCGTGGCCTTTTTTCTATCTTTTCCTCGTGATTTTTATGTTCGTAATTTTACAAATATTGGAAAATACTTATGTATGTGGACAGATGGAAGAAATTAAAATAAAGATCGGGGAATGTTTGTTAAAATATGTATTTTCCATTAGGATATACATAGTTATATTTATCGACGATGATTCAACAAGTCAGCATAAAAGCATTCCCTCTGATCACTTCTAGTATACATATGTTCATTATGACCTTCAAAGCTGTAGAAAGATTTCTATGAAGAAAACGGGGGCAGGACAATGTACCTCGGGCCCGATATACCACCGAGCTATAACGTCGTTCAGAATTGTCGAATTCGAGCGCATTGATTAGATCCACCTAAACGAGCTGAACCGAACATAGGACATCAGATTCGATAACGCTGAACTAAGTTATAGCTCGGCTGTACATTGGGGGTGTGCCCAAAGAAAACTGATCCATAAGCAGTCTTCTGGGCCCGTAGAATAAATTCGGGGTAAGGGGTATTTAACCCCTACCTTGGGGTTAAATAACCCGTAACCCGCAGAATAAATTCAAACCCCTAGCTTCGGGTTAAATGACCGGGTCAGATAACCCGGTTATCTGACCCGCGTAACATTACCGGTAGAATAAATTAATCACCCGGGTTAAATAACTCGCAGGTAAGGGGCAAATTGCAACCCTACTAGGGGGCAGGGTAACATGCGAATTATGCATAATTTCCAAAAAATTAAAACGTTTATTAAATTGCAAAATTTTTAAAAATTTTAATTTCTATTCAAAACGCATAGAAAAATTTTTTTAACAAACATTTTTAATTTTTTAACAAAAATTTTTTAACAAAAACTTCTACAAAAATTTTTGAAACAAAATTTATTCTACAATTAAAAATTTTTATTAATTTTTTAAACTTTTTCATTTGACTATATCTCTTTTTAATAATAACAATTATTGCGTAAACTAATGCAAAATGGGTTTGACAATAAAATATAAAGGGTCATATAACCCAGTAACTCAACTAGTTAAATAACCTTTAGCTCGGTGTTAAATAACCCTTAACTCGGGGTTGAATTTATTCTACCGATTTCAACCCGAAGCTAAGGGTTATTTGCCCCTGGGTTGTTTAACCAGGTTATTTAACCGGGTTATCCAACCCCGAATTTATTCTACGGGCCCTGAATTAAATTTTGAAAATGTATGTGGGCTTATAAAGTTCATGTAACCCAAAAAAGAACAGGAAAAGGATGATACACAGTATTTAGAAATGAAAAGTTTAATTATAAGAGATTTAAATTTTATTTATAAATCCTCGCGAATTTTTGCAAAAATAAATAAAATAAAAAAAAAAAAGAATTTTTTTAAAAAAATTTCTAAATTATTTTGAATAATAAAATGATAAGATTAATTGTTTATTCGAGAAATTGTCATTTGAGTACTTTTTGTCAATTTCATTGATAAAATAATCACATTTTTATATTTTTTTCTAGTTAATTAAATTCTCTAAAATTTATGTTTTTTACATAAAAATAATTATTTATTTGTGTTTATTTAATCATTTGTTATTTAGTCTGTCATTAAAAGTAAATGATAAAAAAAATTAATGCGCTCTAATTTTTGTTTGTTAATATAAAAATAATATATAAAGAATCATCGCCGCGTGATTCTAAACGAATCAAAAATTAAATGTTGAATTTGTCTAAGGTTATAAAAGTATATTAACGGTAATTTAATAGATTATAACGTTTGGAAGTTTAAGAAAATAAAAGAAAGTTCTTGTTAGTGTTAAAAAGAAGTAAATGATAAACAGAAAATTTTTTTAATTTTCTATATTTTGTTTTTGATTAAATTATGGATTCTGTTGTTGTCTAACTTTACTTTCTAAATTATTTTGAAAAAGTTAAATTTGTCGGACGGAAGGCTTTCATAAAATTAGTTTGGTTTTCTTAATAAAAAATACATATAAATGGGGTGCAAAAGTTTATTTGTACTGACCAAACAAATTTTTTAAAAAACGTTTAAAAAACATTTATAGGTATTTTATTATTAAGTGAAAAGTGATAAGATTTTGTTTAAAAGATAACCCCCAGTATTTTTTAAAATATTCCCCAATTTTAAAAAAATTCTGACTAATGTAGATAAACTTTTGCACAATTGTGTGGTCCAAAAATACAAAATAAAAAAAAATATTATTAAAAGAAAAAAACGGACGAATCAATGCAAGAAATGGGACGATTTAATGGGCGAGTGCTACATGAATATATACACAAAAAAAATAAAAACAAGAAAATGGCGAAGGCTGTCGCTTATTTCTTTTTCTATTTTTTCCGCTGAATTGCACGTGAATAACATTTACTAACAATAAATATATTTGTTTGTGTAAAGCTTTAAAGGAGGGAGTATTTGATAAATATTTACTTACAACGATGATAAACAAAAAGAGAAAAAAATATTTTGTTTAAACAAAATATGGGGGATTGTATCCAATCACATTAAAGTTTATGACAAAACCTAATACTAAATTGTTTATATATCACATTCTTAAATGTTCTTAGTTTAATTCAAAATTAAAAAAGAATGTACCTAAAATTCCTTTTTTGAGGGCCAAAGACACAAAATAACAATAAACTTTTTATTACATAAACAGGTTTTTTGGCAGATAAAAAATTAAAAACGATCTAATATTTCTTTTCAAAATTTTATTTTCTTAGTAAATTAAGAAAAATAATTTTTTTGGCTCTCTAAAAATTCTCTAAAATATTCTTTGAACAAATTATTTAAAAAAATTAATTTAACCATTCAGAATATACATATTTAAAATTTATTTGTAGCAAAATGAAAAAAAAAACAAAAGTCTAATTATTTAAAAAAATAATTGGTTTTGTAAACCCGTTAAAAATAAATAATTTTTTCTTTTTTTTTCAGCATTTCATCCAATTTTCTTTAAAAATGCTTCTGATATTTTTTCTTTATTCAATTTAAAATGCTTTTAGCCATATCAATTCCTTCATTCTCTCCATCCTCAGAAACAATTTTATTAGCGGCTAAAGTAGTTGGGGCTAATGCTGCTAAAATTGGAATTGAAATTAAAATAAGGGAAGATTTAATTTTTGGTTGAAGAAGTGAAAATAAAGCAGAAAATGTAGCTACTGTAAGATAACTACATTCAACTGCTGAGGCTATTAAACCAATCATTTCTCTTTTTTTGTTGTCGATTTTTTAATATAAAATTTCCACAAAAATCTAAAAAATTTTAAAATTTTAAACAAAAATTGTTTTAAAAATTGATAAAAAAATTTTATTTTTTAAAAGAAAAATATTTTTCTCTTTATTTTTAAGGGAAAAAATTGTGTAAATGAGAAGGAAGGAAATTTGGTTCCTCCTTTTATTTAAAAAAAGAACGGGCGGCGATAAATCGAAGAAAAAGGTAATTTTCTTTTTAAATAATTATTTAAAGACATTTAAAGATTTAGAAAGAAATCTTCAAAAAAAATCTTAAATTGGGGCACGGGAAGAAGGGCTTTTATTTAAAAAACAATTGTTTCTGTTAATTGTTAAATTTGTTTGTTATTTTAGAAAGATTTCAAAAAAGTTTTTTTAAAAAATAGCAGAAATAAAACTGCCAAATGTCTTCTTTTAAGAGAAAAAATCTTCTGATAAAAAATCCTTCCTTCCCTTAAAAATAAATGACTTTCTTTCATTTACTCACATTTGTCTATTAAATAAAAGCAGAATGATGAAATGAAAAGAGTAATTTAGGTAGGTAACGGGCAAATAAATTTTATGAGCGATGAGGGCGGGGAAGGAAGGGAAGAAGGAAGGAAGAGGGAAGGAAGAAAATGAATAAAAATGATATTCTTCTGAAATACACGTGAATTACACAAAAAAAGAATTATTTTCTCTTTTATTTTTAGAGTGCATTTTGACTATTTTTCTAAAGGAAATTTTATTGAGAGAAGTAGTAAATAAATATAAAGGTATACACAATTTTTAGTGAACAATAACAAAATATGGCCAAAGAAAGTGCATTTATAAAATGTAAACGTGTCCTAAAGATAAACTTTTGGGAAAAATATTTTTTAAATTTAAATAAAGAAAATTAAAAGGAATATGTACTAAAGATTGAGGAAAACTTTGGAAAAAGGATATTATTGCCAGTCGGCATCTCCTTTCTTAAAATAGTATACTGTATTTAATCTCCTTTGATGTCTGTTCTTTTAATTTACTTTGATTGTATCAATCTATCAATTTTGTCCTTATCAATTTTGGCATCAATCTCTTTATCTCGATGAGTGGAATCGTTTAAATTTGGTAAGATTAGGAAATCTTGCAGCAGGTTATGAGCAAATTATCTTAGGAGTGTCTCTAATAAATAAGCCAGATTTTGATAAAAAAATGGACGGCGATGAAATGTCTTAGTCAAGAATTAAGGGTAGGGGACGATTCAGTATCGCCGATTCAGTATTGGCCGATTCAGTATTTGGGCTTTTTGGCCATAACTTTTTGCTCGATCAATATTGTAGGAATTATTATATATGATTTGATAGGCCTCGGGGTGCTGCATCTTTTTCACAATTGGACTAACCTGATCTGATCACTCTACGAAAAGTTATCATTGATAGACGACTTTGCAGGCATAAAAAATCGGTTTTCACGCTGTAACTTTTTTTGTGATCATCAGATCTGATCGGGCCAATTATGAAAAAGATGTCGAATCTCGAGACCTTTCGAATGATATGAGAATTATTCGAATCGGTCGAATATCAGGAAAGTTATGGCCATATACTGAATCGGCGGATACTAAATCGGCGATACTGAATCGGCTATACTGAATCGGCGATACTGAATCGTCCTTAACCGAGAATTAAGGTTTTCTGTCTTTTGAGTCACGGCAAAAGAATGGTTAGTCAAATTTTATTTTTCTTGAACTTTTTTTTGGCAAATTTTATTTAATTTATGATTAATATGTTTATTCGATATTTTTTAAGAAAAATGAGCACATTTTCCAATGTCGAGATGGGACCGCCTGATGCAATTTTGGGTGTAACTGAAGCTTTTAAGCGTGACACAAATCCTAAAAAAGTCAATTTGGGTGTTGGGGCATATCGTGACGATCAAGGAAAACCATATGTTTTGCCAAGTGTCCGGGAGGCTGAAGCTCAATTACTTGCTGCAAATTTGGATAAAGAGTATGCAGGAATTGCAGGGTTTTAATTTTTAGATTTTTTATTTAAATTATTTTGTAGAATACAAGAATTTACTTCGAGAGCTATTCAATTAGGTTTATTTGAGAGAAATTATTTTTTAAAATTTTTTTATAATTTTAAGCACTAGGTGATGACTCTGCAGTTCTCAAGGAAAAGAGAAATGCTACTGTTCAATCTGTCTCCGGCACTGGGGCATTGCGTACTGGATCTGAATTTTTGGTAAATTTTCTGATAATTTTGAGAATTGGTCTTTCTTGAGTATTTGAAGTAACTGCACCTCCGGTATGTAGTAAGTAATGGGGTGTCCTGATTTATATTTCAAAACTTTTTTATTTTTTATTGATACACAAATTCTCGTTGTAAAATTCCCTTTAAAGTTTTTCTTTTTCAGTCCAAATGGTATTTACCTTCTAAAGTTGTTTATTTGCCTTTACCAACCTGGGCTAATCATCTAAATGTCTTTAAATTTGCGGGGATTGAAGTTAAACGTTATCGCTATTATGACCCAAAAACTTGTGGTTTTGATGAGGAGGGCTGTTTACAAGATATTTTGGCAATGCCTGAAAATTCTATAATTCTTTTCCATGCTTGTGCACACAATCCAACTGGTGTTGATCCAAATGTTTGTTTAAATAAGTTTTTTATTCTGAAAAGTTTTTTAGGTAGAGCAATGGGAAAAGTTATCCAATGCTTGTAAGCAACGCAAACTTTTTTGTTTCTTCGATATGGCCTATCAAGGATTTGCTTCTGGCGATGTTGACAAAGATTCTTTTGCTGTTCGTCGTTTTGTTGAGGCTGGGCATGATATTTGTTTGGCACAATCTTTTGCTAAAAATATGGGACTTTATGGTTTTTGTATATTTTTTTTATAAATTTTTAATTTTTAAAAATTTATTTAGGCGAGAGAGTTGGGGCTTTTACTGTTATTTGTTCTAATCAGGAAGAAGCAGAAAGAGTACTTTCCCAACTTAAAATAATTATTCGTCCAATGATTTCGAACCCACCTATTCATGGAGCTAGAATTGCTGCTAAAATACTTGGAGATTCTGACCTTCGACAAAAATGGTTAGTCAAAAAAAATAAAATTTAAGAATATTTTTATTTTAAAGGCTTGCTGATGTTAAAAGTATGGCAGATCGAATTATTTCTATGCGTGTTCAACTTAAAGAGCTTTTGGTTAATGCTGGGTCTCAACGTAATTGGAATCATATTGTTGACCAAATTGGAATGTTTTGCTATACTGGACTTAATCCAGAACAGGTTTTTGATTGAAAAAATGAAATAAAAATTTTAAAAATTATTCTTAGGTTGATCGTTTGACTAATGAATTTAGTATTTATTTGACAAAAGATGGGCGTATTTCAATGGCTGGTGTTACTTCTGGTAATATTAATTATGTTGCTAATGCAATAAATGAAGTTACAAAGTAATTGAAATACTTGAGGATTTTGTAGATATTTAAATTTTGTAGACTTAATTTGAAATGCTCATTGTAATAAATGTTAGAATAGACCCGGTATTATTTAGAATATCCGCTAGAGATAAACATAGTAATTGTTTTTTATGTTGTTTTTTAATTCGAGTTTTGTTTTCTCTTAAATATATTTTTTGAGTTGATCTGGATGTTATCTGAAAAGAAATTTTAGTTTAAATTAAGAATTTTAAATCTCCATGAATATTGTTGAAGATTATGTTGCTGTCGTTTTTGCTGGAGGGAGAGGTAATCGAATGTTGTCTATTACTGAACATATTCCTAAACATTTGTTGCCAATAATTAATATTCCATTATTTTGGTTCCCTCTCAATTTGCTTCAAAGAAATGGATTTAGAGGTTTGATTTTTCTTAATTTTATTTTTTACTTAAATATCACAGCTCTCACTTAATTTAAATCCTTTACAAAATTCCTTTCTGCTTATAGTTGGAACAATGCCCTTAAAATGTTTATATATTTTCTAAATAAATCTATAATTTTCAGAATGCCTTCTAATCGTACCAAAAACAAAAACTGATTCTATAAATAAATTACTTTCTGATGGAAGTTTACCAAGTCTTGATCAACTTAAAGTCACAATTTTATCTTTTGATGATGAAGAAGAAGGAGCTGAAGAATTTGGCACAGCTGATGTTCTTTTACAAAATTTGGATAAATTGAAGGTTAATTTTTTAAAAGAAATTTTACTAAAAATTTTTAGAAGAAAAACGTTTTAATTGTAAGCGGAGATTTAATTACCGATTTGACATTGGAAGGAATGCTTAAATTTCATGAAAAAGAAAATTCAGTTTTAACATGTTTTTTAACTGATTCTCCACTTTCTGGTGCTATACCTGGAACTAATGAAAGGCCTAAAAAATGTTTTTAAATATTTTTTTAAAATAATTTTTGGAAAATTTAAAGATAGAGATTTTGTTATGTTTTCTCCAGAAAATAATCAATTACTTTATCTTATTGATGAGGATGATTTTGGTGATGACGAGAAATTTCCTGCTTCTCTTTTTAAAAGGTTTCTTTTTCTTTGAAATTAAAATATGATTTTTAAATTAAATTCAAAAATTAAATAAAATTGGGCAGATTTAGTGTCAGAATTAATTGTTTCCGTAATTCTCCTTTTATTTTTAGAGAGCGAGTGGAGCTGGTCCAGACCTTGATTTTTCCTTGACTCGAAGTCAAGAATCTGGTCGAGCCACCCAACTGAAATCAAGGTCAAGGTTTTTTTAAAATCTCGTTCTCTACTTATTTTCCTGTTTCTCATTAAAATTCTAATCCATAATTTTTTTTAAATTTACAAATTGTTTTATAATTTTTTAAGCTCTCCACATATCCAATCATGTGCCAAATATAAAGATGTACATTTATATGCCATTAAAAGAGATGCTTTAAATGCTCTGAAAAATTCAAAGTATTTTTTGAATTATTTAATTAATTTAAATATTTATTTAAAAGATTCTCATTTTCTTCATTAAAGGCTGATTTTATTTCAAATTTAATTTATGGACAATTTTCTAAATCAAAAAGACGTTCACTTGGATTTGATGAACTACAAAAATATAAATGTTTTGCTTATTTTAGTAATTCAAATGATTGTTCTTTTTTGGCTCAATGTAATAATTTGGGGGCTTATTTTGAGGCAAATAAAATTGTTGGTTTTGTTTTTGAATATATTTTAGGAATTTAAAAAGATTTTTTGGGAGTTACTTTGTTGCAAATGTTAAAGACATTTATTAGCAAGTGTGGGTGTTGACTCTGGACCAAGTCCTGGGTTTTTCCTGTACCCAGAGTCCGGGCGCAGGCATTTTTTGACCTTCCTGGACTACAGGCCCAGGTCAATAAATAAAACCCAAAGTCCAGGAACAGGCCCAGGCTTTTCAAAAATCTGGATCTCTATGTAGTAGATTCGAATTAAAATTTGAGAATTAAAAAAAGTTATTCTACAAATAATTTTGTATTTCCCTCCCTTAACAAATTTTCTCTTTTATATTAGATTAAAAAATTCCTGCCAAAACTCTGTGACAATTTGGATTCAAAATTTTTGGGAAAACAAACAAATCAAAATCAATCAGAAAGTTGGATTGCAGAAAATACTCAAATTGGCACAAAATTTCAATTAAAACGTTCTGTAATAAGTGAAGGATGTATTATTGGAAATAATGTAAAAATAGATAATTGTTTAGTTTTATCTAATGTTAAAATACTTGATGGGTAATTTTTTTGTTTAAATTATTTTTTAAAATTATTTTAAAGGGCAAATATTAAAAATTCAATAATTTTAAATAATTCACAAATTGGAGAACAAACAAATATTTCTATGTGTATTATTACTCCAAAACAAAAAATACCCAAAAAAGGTTTAAAATAAATAAAAATTAAAATAAATTTATTTTAGCAAAAATTAATTCCTTGACAATTTGTGAGGAAAAAGAAATGAATTTAAATATTTGTGAATAATTTTATTTGTTTTTTTGTAACTGATGGAATTTAACTATTGTTTTACGAAAAAAAATAAATTAATATATGTTTTGCCAATTTCATATTTTGCCAAATCATATTGTGCCAATAGGCAAAAATCCCCATTTCGCCAGTTCCATATTTTGGAACGCGGTTTACGCTCCAAATTTTAAAAACCCAGTTATCGCCTGAATTTTAGTTATTTGGACCTATATGTAGATATAAATTCGTCGGGAGTACTGGATTTTTTAAAGCATTTGGTAGATTTCTAAAAATCATTTAGCCGTCCCCTTATTGTTAGTTCTTTATTTGGAAAAAAAGTACTATAAAAGGCGTTCCACATTCCTGTTAATCAACCATCTTCATACAAACTCACGCTTGGCTCGCCTATTCTAGCTTCTATCCCTTCGGCAGGTAATATACAATTTGTCACTTTTTATTCTGCTTTAAATGAATTTCTTTTAGTTTTCTCAGATGGAATCCGATGAAAGCGCTCAACGTCGAGTTAAGGGCCGTAGCTTAGTCGCTTTCGCAAAAATGCGCAATATCGAGATAGAGAAGGACTATACGGAACTATCTTCCAACGAGCGTCATTTTGTGCGTTTCTTCGAGGCCGACAACATGAATGTAAGAAGAATTTCTCTAAATCGCTAATTGTATAATCCAATGGATTTTTTGTTTTCAGCGCAGCCAATACGATAACGTTCCTCTATATGACAAGGATGCTGTTCGTCTGTTGCCCAGTTCCGGTGAAAGCGATTTTGTGCATGCCAGTAAAGTGATCACATCTGGCGGAGAGGGAGGTTACTACATCATCGCCCAAACACCGCTGGTCAATCCATCAAAGCCTCGTATCGATACTCAATTCAATTGGTAGATTAAGGACATAAAACATAAGCTTTTCTCTTTTTACATCAGGTTGCGCATGTTGTGGGAGTTCAATGTGTACGTTGCTGTTTGTCTCGTCAACCTTGGTCACGAAAGCGAATGCGACTACTACTTCAACAGGAGCAGAGGCGAGACATATAAAGTGAGGATTTAAATTTAATTATTCTAATTACTTTTGTTGGGTTTTGTTCTTCAATTGTGCTAAAACTTTATTTTTAAAGGTCAACAACTTCGAAATCACAACCTTGGATGTTGGCACAGATGTCAACTGGTGCTGGACATACTACAGACTGAAAATATCACGCAAGGAGGGAAAGAAACGTTATGAACGTGTCATCCAGCTTGTAGTGTGTCGAAACTGGACGGTGTGTTTATTTTAGTTTTGAGTGGCCGATAAACTTGTAGCTAATCCTTAATTTTCTAGGATGACCCGCGGTTCAGTCCAATGAACTACAAGGACTTGTCTGATCTTCTACACTTTGTTTGGTCGCTCGAGAACGATTCAGCAAGTCAACGACGAGCCCAACATGGGTCAGTTGGCGAAAGATCGGTGTTGCATCCAACTTTGGTGCACAGTAGAGCTGGTATGAATCGAGCTGGGACTTATGTAGCTGCTTCTATCTTTGGCCGTCGAATGTCTGCGAAGCACACCCGAACGCTAAGGTCCGGAAAGTTTTCAGTAAAGATAATCCATTTGTTTAATTTTTAGCCTGAACCGAGTTGTGAAGGTCTGCAAAAGTCTGAGAAGTACTCGTTACGATATTCTGAATCGCCGTTCGCAGTTTCTTCTTCTCCTTGAAACTATTCTTGAGCTGGCTGTCCGAAGTGGGACTGTAAACGAAAAGGATGTTAGTCGTGCCCGTGATGTTCTCCGACGGTGAATTTTTTTCGTTTTATATAAAAATTGAAAAAAAATTCCGTTTTTAGTGTCCGTGATGAGATTGGCAAGACACGAGCAAAAGCAAAAGGATCATCACGGTAAGGAGTGAGACTTGTTTATAAAACAATTTTTGATTTTTTAGTAGCCGTGGCTGAGCTGCTGTGGGCATCGACAACATGCTAGGACGATACTTGTGTAAAGAAAGAGAAGAATCATCCTAAGAGAAGAATTTATCTAATATAAAGAGAAGAATTTATCTAATATCATATTGTAATTATTTGTTTTCTGTGTGTGATATATAATTGTAATCTTTATGTTGTGATAAATATATATACAAATACATCTCTTCATGTTAATTGGTCTTTAATTTATTTAATATGCCTCCATTTAAATAATTTTTGATTACTAAAAAAAAGTCCAAGGTCAATTGAGGGGAGTGAGAAAAAGTATCTTTGTTATTAAATTTATTTTAAATAAATCATCAATAATTATACTATAAAATAATTGTTTGTTCGAGGTTTAATAAATTTTTTAATTAATTATTTTATCAAACTTAAATAGTAAAGCTAATTTTTAATTTACTAATAAAAGTTTTTAACCAAAATTTTTTTTCATTTTTTCTATTTAATCGTATTATTTTATTTAGTTGCTTTTTAATACAGAAACAGGAAATTTATATTTAAAAAAAAGAAAGGGAAGGAATATATAAATAATCAAAATATACATTTATCTCCTCTCTTTCCAATCACACAAAATAACCACATTTTCTAGTCCACAACGGCTCGTCATCATCGTCAAAAAATTATTTTCTCACCATTTACTAGTTCATTAAATCAGATAAATTATTTTATTTAAAACACCTATTAGTGGCCTTTCTTTGTTCTTTTTATTATTTATATAAAGCTCATCTACTATATAATATCCAAAAATTGCTTTAGGGTAATTCTCTTCTAATAATTATTCTTTTACCACAAATTAAAAGAAAAAAAGGCTTTGAGTTGTTTTCTTTGTTATTTATTTTTATTTATTAACCAAAAAATTTTTTCCTTTATTTTGGGCATATTCTTAGAGAGATGATCACATAATATTTTTGAAGTACTTTTTTATCTACTCGGAAAAAAATATTCAAGTGGAGGAGGGGAATAGATTGAGTAATTAAATAAGCTTGTGCTAAAAACGAGTAAAAATGTTGCAATTCTGTAAATGTAATTAATTTTTATTTTATTTAATATTTTCCTTTTTTTCCTTTAAAATTTAAATATAAATTATTGAGATTAGGGTACACCCCTAGGTAACGCAAGCCCAAGTTACCGCAAAGCTGTAACTTTGTTCAAAGTGGTCGATCCGGGACACCCTAGTATGGTTCGATGCACCTCATCGAGCCGAGTCGAACTATACCAGGGGTCTTGAATTTGACAATTTTGAACGAAGTTATGGGCGCTGCGGTTCCTTGGCCTGTTCACATTTAGATTAGTACATAATAAAATCTAATACCGTATTTACTCGATTAATTCCCCTCCCTCGAATAATTCCCCACCCTCTATTAATTCCCCATGCCAGGGATGAGTTGAAAAAATAATTCCCCTCCCCCAAATACCCTACTACACGTTCAGATTTCAAAACTCGAATAATTCCCCACCCTCTATTAATTCCCCATGCCACGGATGGGTTGAAAAAATAATTCCTCGGGGGAATTAATCGAGTAAATACGGTATGTAATATTTTATTATCTAATAATTAATTTTTTTGTGGAAAATATTTAATGATTGTTGCCTATCGTTATTTTACTTTTAATAATTTTATTTTTATTAAAAACATCAAAAACAAATATTAATTTTACTTTTTGTAATTGTTTATTTTTTATTCTTTTTAAAAAAGTTTTTGGATTCTTTTTTTGCTCTACTTTTTATAGTGGGCGAATGATTTCATTCTTTTCTAATATTTAGGGGTTTAAAAAATATTTTCTTAATCATTTTCTTTGGTTTACGTGTTTATTTTTTAATGTATTTTTGTGTATATTTTTAAATGGAAAATGGGCGAAAATCTATAAAACTCTAAATAAAAATTAATTTTTTTTCTAATCTTTTTAAAATTTAAATAATAAGAATTTACTGGAAATTTTTTAAAAAACCAGCTAATATCCAATAATCATTTTTTCTAATTTATCCTTTAATTAATTCAAACAAAAATATTTACTTAAAAGCTTTATAGAAAATTCTTTCTTTCTAAAAATAATTTGATTAAAAAATTAAAAGATTAGTTAAAAACCAGTAGAGAAAAGAATTTTTTCCTTTTTTGTTTACTAAAATCCCCCCCCCCCTTCCTTACAAATTTTTTTCTTTTACACTTCCTTTGCCTTTTTTAGTAGTTCTTTTTACATTTCTTTTTCCTTTAATTCCCCATTATTTTTATATTCTCGTCTAACATCTACATTCTATTCCTTCTTTACCACCCACAAAAATGGCATTCATCCAGCCAAAGAATTTTTATTTTATTTTTTTTTTTACAATTCCTCTATTCATTCCCTACTTTTATATATGTTCAATAATACTTTTTTCCTTCAATTTATTTTTTTCTCGCGTTTTTATTAGTCGATCCAATCGTAAAAAACAGTCCAGTCAGTCGACTGGCGGCGGAACTATGCTTTGCGCTTCTCCCCCCGTTTTTTTTATTTCTTTATTTACCCCTTTACCTTGCACTAAATCTTCTTAGAAAAAAATTTTCTCATAAAATCCTTTTCAAATCTTCTTCCCTCAATTATTTTATTTTGTGTCTCCCCCTCAAACATTCATGAATTCGCGCAAAAACAAATCCCCCTCCCTTCCCCGGACTCATTGAGAGTTTTTCTCTAAATGAGGATATATTTACGAGATGTTGTTGTTGAGTAGAGAGGGGGGAGGGATTGGATGAACTTTTTTCTACACATTAAAATTTGGTGGGTGGTTCCCCTCCTTTCTCTTCTAAATTCACTCTTACAACACAAATTGACCCGAATTGTATTTTAATATAAAGGGAAAATCTGACAAGAAAGGTGAGAATATACAGGACAACAAAAGAATTACCTTTAAATCTTTAAATCATAAACTTTTTTCTAATAATTTTTTAATTTTCCATTTTTCCGCTAATTTTAAATTTTGGCGTTAATTTTTAATTCAAAAATTAAAAGGTTTTGGCGTTATGCAAAAATGTTACAAACAATAAAATTAGCCATTTTGTCGAACGGAAATATTTGTGTGTCTTTTTTAGATTCTTTCTTGATTTTTACGTAGTCCTTTTATTAATTTCTTACATTAAATCTATTATTATTATCACAAATGTGAACTTTATGTATTTAATTTTACTAATCAAAAATTAATTTTTTTAAAATATAATTTCAGAGATTTATTGAAATCTTCAATCGAAAAGAATTTAATTTCGTTATTTAACATACCTAGAATATATTTATTTTATTCATCTTAACTTGGAAACAATGACACCATTTATTCCTCCATTGGTTAGTTTTTTTTATTTTTTTGTCCTTAAAAATCCAAAATTCAATTAAAATTTTTATTTAAAAAATATTTTTGTCTAAAAATAAATTCATTTAGTTGTTATATTTTTAAATCTGATTGAACTTTCTTTTTTAAAAATTATTTTCTTTTTATTTATTAATCTCTCATTTCAATCATTCAAAACAATTTTTAGATTCTTCTTTTTCATTTTTACTGGTCATCAATTCTTCCTTCTTTTTCTCCAACTGTGCTTTCTCTTTTTACAAATTTTTGTTATTATTAATCTCTTCTCTTTTATTACAATAAAATAATATTTTTAAAAATTTTTCTTTTTGATTTTTTTAAATCCTCAAAAATAGGGATATTATTTTCATAAAATATATTTTTTAATCAATTCTCATCCAAAAATAAATTTTATTGGGGACTATATCTCCTTCAGAGATTATTCAAATAATATGACCTTGATTTTAAATATTATTGAATCATACATATTTTTGGAAAAATGCCATTTTTGTATTAAATTAAAATTATTTTCCTGAAATTGGAAATTTCTTTTGGTTTTTAAAGAAAATTTTGATTTTTCTGTATTTTTTAAAAATTATTTTTTTTTGTTTTTAAATAATTTTTTTTTGTTTTTGTCCACGCAAACATGTTCTTCATATTATATTTATTGACTAAAGTCAAGGACTAATATATTCCCTATTTTTTGAGAGACGAGAAAAATAGAGCATTTAGTTAGTATAATAATTGTTGTTGTCCAATATATATTTATTCTCTTTTTATATTTTTCCCCTACAAGTGTCCACTCTTTTTTTGAGTGGATTGCGCCAACACCAAAAAATAATAATTTTCAAGTATTTCCCCCCCCCCCCCCCTTTACCTATTTTTTAGTTTAAATAAATTTTTAAAATTAATTTTTAATTATTTTTAGATGTCAAAAGATGTTTGTCATCGTTGTAGTAAACCAGTCTACCCAACAGATAAAATTGGTCCTTTAAAGGATGGCACTTTTTTTCATCAGGGATGTTTTAAATGGTTTGTGATTTTTTTGATATTATTGGGGAATTTTTATTAAAAAATTTTATTAAAAAGATTAGGGTGGGATTTTTCGAACCGGGCCGACGTCCGAGTCATTCTTTCGGGCTCCATGAACCGAACCGGGCCCCCAACCCTGAAGAAAATTTTAAATTAAAAAGATTAAAAAAATTCTTTCGGCAAAAATTTATTACTAAAAATAAAAGAAAACTGGCTGTTTTTAGAGAAATACCCCCCCTCCCGCCCTCTCCTTTTTTTAATTAGTAGGATCTTGATGAAAATATTTTTAATTATTTTTTAGTTATTTGTGTGGATCGAGACTTGCTCTTAAAACTTATTGCAACAATAGAGAGTAAGTTATTTGAATTAAAAAATTCAATTTAAAATTTAAAAAAAAGGTCAATAGATGACAGAGAAGTTTATTGTCGAAGTCACGTTCCAATTGCAAAACCTCATGATCCAACATTGCCTCCACCTTTGCCTTCTCCAGCTGAGTATTTAAATGGAAATAATAATGGAGTAGAACAACACAACAATAATCGTCAAAGACAATTGGATGCTGGATTACAAGATTTAAAAATTGCTGTAAATGATTTATTTTAAAAAATTAATTAAAAAAATATTTAGCATGCAATGAAAGTAACACAAGTTAGGAAGCCTTATCCAAAAATCCAACATGGAGGAGCTAAATATATTGGTTAGTTGATTTTAATATTTTTTAAATTTAAGTAGTAAAAATGGTTATTAAAATCATCTTTTAGACCCTTAAGTTTTCAAATTATTTCAATTAATTTTACATATTTTTTATTAATAGCTCTCCTCCTTTTCTTCAATTTATTTTTCGTTTTTAGACTAGGGTTCATCAGTTTTACGGGAACGGGGTTTGCGGTGATTTTTGCCACGTTGATGGGGATGGTAGCTCTGGGGGAGAGCCTCCCACCGTCACCGGTGAACCACCATCCCCGGGAACGGTGGTTGAACCCTACTTTAGACTTTTAATAGTTTTTCTTGTTTTTTTTTCAAATTTGGTAATTTTCCGAATTCTTTCGTTTTTACTAGTTTTTATTGAATTTTGTTTTAAGTAGTAATAATCAGTTTGTTTTACATTATTTTAGAAGACTTTTTTGTTTTTTAAATATTTTTTTTTAATTTAAAAAATAATTTATTTTCAATTTTTTTCAGTTGATTATGATACTCAATCTCGTCTAGAATTACTTCATCGTCAAAAAGAGGACAAACTTTATGAAGAATTTGAAGCTGAACGAGAAAAAGAATTTCAAAAAGTTGAAAAAGAATTTAAAGAAGAATGGGAAAGAAATTTAATTGAAATTTCCAAAAAATATGGAAATGTTAAAAATTCGGAATTACTTAAAGAATTAACAATTAAAAAGGATAAAAAACTCGAAACAATTAATTTTAAATTAAAAGAACGCGAAAGAACTAAAACACATGAAATGGTTGATCAACAGGCTAAAGAAATGGTAAAAAATATTTTTTTAATGAATTGTTTAAAATGAGGAAAAAGGAAGAGGGGGGGGGGGGAATTAAATAATTAGAAAAGGGGAAAAGAAAAGTCGTGTCAGGCTAACTCAAGGAACGACAAATCAAGGAACTGTTAAGGAAAAGATACATGTCAAGGAACAACTTCTCTTTTCCTTGACTTGTCGTTCCTTGGGTTAGATCCTGATGAAAAAAATTATTTGGGGAGCACAAGGTAATATTTTAGAATTTTATCCAACTAATAAAGGAACCTCTCAATCTATATACCTTACATAAGTAACATAGTTCGAGAGGTGGGGTCCTCTTGTATCTCAAGGCATTTTTATTTTTTGAGTTATATTTTTTAAGTTTGTTGAGACAATTATTTTACGGGGATTTGAATTTATAAAATTTAGAATATTTTTTTCTGATTTTTTTAAAATAAAAAAAAATTTTTTTCAAAGTTGGATCTATGGCGTCAAGCTCGCTACCAACAACGTGATTATGATGTTGATGAAGTCTCAAGTAGTTGCAGCAGCACAGGTGTTCCTTCATCTTACCCAACAACTCCCCCACCTCCAATGCCCCCATCTTGCAGTAAAAGGTTTTATTTTTATTAACAAAAATTTTAAAAATTAATTTTTATTTTTTTAGACATATTTATACAGATACTTCTGTTTTTACACAAATTGATCAACTTGCTGTAAGTGTTGCAAGTCAAGAAATGCAAACATTTACAGAATTAGTTCGTTCACTTACAGCTGGGGCACGTTCTGACGTGGACAAAGTTTTTTAAAAAATTAATTTTAATTTTTAAATTTAAAATTCAGGCTAGAGCTATATATCGTTGGATTACTGTTAAAAATTTAAATGTGATGACTTTTGATCCAAATTTGGATAAAGAGTATAATTAAATTTTAAATAAAATTATTTCTTTTATTTTTTTAGTAATCCTATGAGCCTTTTGAGAGGTATTAAATATGGAACAGAAAGTTATCATGTTTTGTTTAAACGTCTTTGCAGGTTTAAAAATTTTTTTATTTTTAAGTTGTGAAGTAGTTAGTTTAAGTTTGTTGAGATTTTAAAGGAATCATATCAGGCTATTCTTTTTTGGACGATTTCCCTTACTTTATCCCCTTAGCTACACATTTCTACATTAAATGGGGTTTTTTTTTTAATAAATTACAAATTAAGTACCGATCAATTTCGTCTTTTATCTTACACATTTACAGCCTTATATTATTAATTAGTTTCTTAAATTTTTCTTAGAATACCTAAGATTTTAATAAATTTTATTTTCTTTAGTTATGCTGGTCTTCATTGTGATGTAATTAAAGGATTTAGCAAATCTGCTGGGTATCAACCAGGCATTCCTTTTCCAGATAATCGTTTTCGAAATACTTGGAATGCTGCTTTCTTAGATGGTTCTTGGCGTTTTGTTCAATGTAATTGGGGTGCAAGACATTTAGTTAATGCAAAGGATTTGGGTGTTAAAAATGGGGATAGAAGGTCAATTGAAGATAAAAATGAAATTGAGGGAGATGCTAATCTTCGATATGAATATGATGATCATTACTTTATGACAGATCCGGTAAATTTTTTTAAATTTCATTTTAAATTTTGATTTTCTAAAATTATTGTTCTTTGAACAAAAATCTTTAAGAAATTATTTTGGAAAATATAATTTATTTTTAATTATTTTTTTAGGAAGAAATGATTTATGAATTCTTCCCTGATGATGCTCAATGGCAACTGTAAGTATATAATTAATTTTTCTTTTATTTAAAAATATTTTTTTAAGTTTGCCTCGTCCAATAACATTAAAACAATTTGAACAATTACCTTTCGTCCGATCTTTATTTTTCCGTTTTGGCCTTCATTTTACCGATCCTCGATTACAAGCAATACTTAAAGCTGACAGATCTGGCGCTGTTGGAATATCTTTATCTATGGGGCCAGAATCAACAAAAAATTTAATTTTTCATTATCTACGTTTCTTTGATGGAACAGAAAATTCTGAAACCCTACAAAATGGCTGTAGTTTAAAACGTTATGTTATGCAATCAATGAACACAAAAAATGATGTTGTACTTTTTCGAGTACATGTCCCAACAAGTGAACCGTTACTACTTGATATTTTTGCAAATTCAGTTTCGCCAGAACATTATTTGACAGGACAGCCAGTTAAATTCAAAAGTGTTTGTAAATTTAAGGTTAAAGATTTTTATTTAATATTTTGTATTTTTTTTGGGAAGGATGGAATTAACGTTTAAAGATTCATTTTTTAAGAAGAACTCGAGTTCTGTAAGGGGGAACTCGAGGATTACTCTAAAGGCTTCATCACAACTCAAGGTCACAATTTCTCTTTTTATTTGAGGTCCCTCCTATAACGTCCTTTATCATTTCATAGAAAAGCGAATTAATTTGTTTATAGGAGACTCCCCTCATACATGCTATATTTTTAACTAACGCTCAAAATTTTTTACAGATTATTTGCGAACATCTCTGTCATGTAATGGTTCCATTACCTGAATGTGCCAGTGGTGAATGGGGACCGTATAAAGCTACGCGATTGTTTGGATTGATACCAATAACTCATGAAGATCCAATAATTAACTGCGGTCAATACTGTGACATTCGCTTCAGGTATTTCAAAAAACTGGCAATAAATCGTACTAAATAACTTAATTTAGAATGCTCAGACCGTTGAACGAATTTGTCGCTAATTTACATAGAAATGGAGTGGACAGTAAACGATTACAACGTTGTGTTCAATGCAGCGTTTATGAAAATGAAATTTTAATAAGTTTAGAATTTCCGGATGAAGGTCAATACGGACTTGAATTATATACGAGGTGGGAATTTAAAATTAAAAAAAGTATTCAAATTTTTTATTTAAGGGATTCAAATCAGAAGACTTTAAATGGAAAACAACTTTTCACCCATTGTTGCAAATATTTGATAAATTCCAGAGTGCAATGATATAAAAACAATGAAGGCTTACACAAAACTGATCTTTTTTGATTTAAAAATCTATATATAACATTTATGATATTATTAAATACATATATTTCTGATAAAATGTTTTAAAATAATATTCGGATTTTTATTCGTTTGTAATTTTATCGTACACATACTTTAAAAACAGTTATTAGAAAAATTAGAAATAAAGATTTTCAAATCTATTAAGGTAATGCCATCGGATCAGCACTGGCGAACAGATCAGGAACTTTTCCTCCTTGAGTTCTCTTCCGTACATTCATTTTGTTCCTTGGATCATTAATTGGATACCTTTAGAAAATTTAATAAATATTTTTATCTAAACTTTAAATACCATTCATCGTTTTCTTCTTTCATATTTGCATCTTTGGCTTTTGTGACACCAGAAGTATCTTCTGGCGCTATTAATTCATGATTCATCCTAAAATTATTTTTAGTTAAAATAAAAATTTCCTCTAACCAATCCTCTCCTTGTATATCCTCTGCATCAAAATCAATTTTTCCTTGATCTTCCGAAGTAGCCAAAATAATATCTTCTCGACTTTTCTGATCACTCATATCCACCTTTTTATCAAATAAAACACCTTGTACTGAGGCGCGTTGTAGTCTCGTTTGAAAACGTCCAAGCAAAGCAATCGTCTAAAAGTTAAATTAAACCAAGAAATGTTATCTCATTAAAAACCTGTTCCTCTCTTCTCGGATCCAAAGTTTTAACAACACCTTTTGTTCCAGACTTGAAATTTAGCTTTAACTTGTTATACATTTTCATACCAGTTGAAGTGCTTGCCTCTTCTTTAGAAATTTTTTTTCATTTTTTCCGGATAAAATCAAAACAAACCATCAACTAGCTTCTCTTCCTTTTGTCCACGCATTGATTTTTTATATTCCTTCTGAAGTTCCTTTAATTCTGATTTGATTCGCTCCCTAAAAATATTTATTAAAAAAATTATTTTCTAAAATTAATTACATTTCATTCCTCTTCCCCGCTTCTCTATAGTCTTCAACAATTTTTTCAATATCATCTTCCTCTTCATTCTTATTACTTTCATCAAATTGCACAACTTTTTTGTTACTTTTAAATTTATTTTTAATTCGATCCATCCTTTCTTCTCTCGCCTGTTCTTCCATAAAATCCTAAAAAATGCCGAATTATTTTTAAAAAATCTAATTGTCCCAAAACTATTTAAAACTCAGGAATTTTGTTAATTCCCAGTTAAATTGTTAAAAAATATTATACCTCTTTATCACCAACGTCCACTTTTTTACTATTTTCATTCTTATAATTAATTTCCTCTGGCCCAACTGCCGCTTGTTTGCTCAGAGAAATATCATCAACCAACACATCATGAGCACTCTTTCCTTTCAATTGAAACTTAGAAGCTTCTTCATCATATTCGTCCATTTCATCTCCAAATGACAATAATGCAGTATTCCTCTTTGGTTGAACATGTTCAGTTTTTTCTTCTTTTAATTTTCTTTTTCCAATCTTTTCTTCCTTTTCACTTTTAGAACGTATTTTTAAATCAGAAAAAGGATTTTCCAGAATTTTAACTCCTGTAATTTTGTGTATTCTGGAGGGACGTTCATTTGCATCAACGTCATAATCGTTCATCTTGAGCAAATTAAAGATAGTATCCCCACCAACCTTCAAAATTTCAAAATTTTTTATTTAAAAATTATTCAAAACCCTTCCAAAAAGTGTGTGTTTGCCGTTAAGATCTGATGCTTCGCCAAGTGTGAAGAAAAATTGTGAACCATTTTGATCTTTCTTATTAGAGGCCATTCCCACCAATCCGCGTCTGTTGAATTTTAAACGTTGATGGAATTCACTCTAGAATTTATATTATATTTACAAATATTTATATTTTATAATCAAAAATCATGTAACTCACAAAAGAAAATTTCCTTATCTTTTCCATTTAATAAACAAAAATTAACCTTAAAAACATCGTCATAAATTGAAGTTCCTCCATGTCCCGTTCCTGTTGGGTCACCCGTCTGCACAATAAAGTTACGTACAAGACGATGGAATATGCAGCCATTGTAGTATCCTTCTGCGCAAAGTTGAACAAAATTGCGACACGCTAGAGGGCATTCTCTGCTCCATAATTCAATGTCAATCGGCCCTAATGTTGTTTCTAGACACACCTAAAAGTTAAATTGAAACATAAATATAAAATTAATGTGAACCTTTCCTTTAGTTTTTGGTTCAGAAATATAAGCTGAAGACATTTCTGTGTCAATAAAAAATAATTGTCTAAGATTATTTGGTGATAGATATTAAAAGACATTTTAAATATCTTTAAATAAATCAATATATAATTATTATTCAATTTATTAATGATCTTCTATAAATTAAGATAATTATTTCAATAATTTTCATCTTTAATCCTAAATCATCAAAAGAATATAATCTATTGCTTGGCATTGAAAATCTTTATGAAATCGGGTTTCAATGAAGCTCCTCCAACAAGAAAGCCATCAACATCTGGCTGTTTTGCCAATTCATCACAATTACCAGCAGTAACAGATCCTATAAATTACTCAAAATTTAAAATTTCAAAATATAGTTTAATAAGGTTCCGACCTTTCAGTACTTTTTTAGTGTTAGGGTTTTATAATTAATCTTATGCGCGGGAGCTACCTTCCCATAGATTTTACTTTAGAAACAATATACCGCCATAAATTATACGCGTCGTCTGTCCAATCTCTTTCGAAACTTTTTCCTCAAGATAATCACGAATCCATTTATGCACTTCTTCAGCTTGCTCAGGGCTCGCAGTCTTGCCTGTTCCAATGGCCCAAACCGGCTCATACGCGATAACAATCTTTTTCCAGTCGATATTTGGAACTTTAAGCAAAGCATCTAATTGACGAAAATTCACCTTAAATAAATCAATAACAAATTTATGCAAAAAATGATACAAATACTTCTTTAGTTTGGTTGGCCTCACGTTCTTCAAGCTTCTCCCCAATGCAATAAATCACATTAAGTCCCGATTCTAGAGCGTGAGCTGCCTTTTCAGCAATCAAAACATCCTTCTCTTCAAATACATGACGTCGTTCGGAATGTCCAAGAATTACATAAGCAACACCGAGATCCTTAATCATTGATGGGCTGATCTCACCGGTAAAAGCACCACTCGGAACCTTAAGAACACTTAAAAATTAACGGACTAAAAGATCCAACCTTATAGCAATTTTGAGCGGCGATTTGTATTCCATTTTTGATATTCTGCGCCACATAATGCAAATATGGAGCTATTAAAGAAAATCTTTTAAAGATAATTTCTAATTTAATTCACCAGGTGGAGCCACAACAATATCAGCGGACGCATTTCCAGACGAATTGTTGAGCAAAGAAATCAACTCGTTAATGGATGAGAATGATCCATTCATTTTCCAATTTCCACCAACAAAGAATTTTCGAGAGCTCATTTTTGACTTAATTTCTAAATTTTTTATACGCTAAAAAGATATTAGTATATAATTAATAGGTATTTCTATTGAAAAACAAAGAATATATGTAATAGAAAAAATAAAGATTATATTTACGAATGAATACATAATTGGGAACAGTTAACACAGATTATATAAAGAATGCGGTTTTTAAAGAAGTGGAATATCTTTTCATAAATTAGTCGAAATGGTCAAAGCATTCAAATTGAAAATAAATAAAGGCACTTGTCAATCCCAGCCACCTCCATTTGTCCCCGTTGCTGTCCATTCAGCCGAAGCTTTTTCATTAAAGAGATCAGGAGGCAAAGGTTTGTCCCAAAATAAAGGAAGCGGCGAATGAAGATAACTCGATGGAACAAGTTCAAAAGGCTCCATTCCTCCAACACCAATTTTCTCCGCCCATTCACGACAACGATGATAGATTTGAACAATACAATGTGCATCAAGAGCTGCATATCTTATCTATTAATGAGAGAAACTATTTGTTAATATTATTTTTATCAAACCTGACTAGTTCTTAAAGGGCGTCTATCCCAAACTGAACACTGTTCTTGTTTATTCAACGGTTTGCCTAATACTCTTCGACAAATATAGGAAAGGCCTTGCTCAGAAAACTTTGTTGATTTGGGCTCCTGCGGAGGAGTAAATATTTTCGTGCTTTGTCTGCTACTTCTTGTACTCACTTCAGACACTGAAAAAATCGGTGATTAAGTCTAAAAAATAAAAAAAACAGACTTTCTACTTCATAAGGATTTGTAACATTCTCTTCATCTGAGGCTTCCTTATCAGAAAGACTGGAATTGAGGTTCTGATTTTTAAAATTTTCAGGACTCTTCACAAAATATGTGGGCTTCACTTTTCGTGTGTGTTCCTTCATATCTTCCTCTTCTTTTTCTGTAACAGGAAGAACAAATTGATCCAATTGGATATGAACAGTAGGTCCAGAGCTTCGCCGAATTAACTGAATCAAAAAAATTTTTAACATAATAATTAAAATGTCCAAGGACAGCCTTATATTTAAAAGCAAAATCAATACCCTACCTCTTCCACAATTTTCCCAACACAATATAAACTGTTAGGCCTATACAACCCCAAACAATCATGCAGTCGAGCTCGAAGTTGAACAAGGTCATCAGAAAAATGATAACCGAGCTTGACGATTTCGCGGCTCATAAAGATTCGATCAATAAAGTCAACCAGTTCTTTTTGTGAGTGTAGACTATCCAAATCAAGCAGATATACAGAATGAGACAATGCAAGTTGTAGAAGTGATGCCCTTAAATAGAAAATTTAATTATAAATGAGAGTTAGCAACACCTGCTTTTCATTACAAAAGAATTCCACTCAGAATCAAAGCCAATTATAATTCGTGAAGTCTTTTTACGCTCGTAATCAGAAAATTGCTTCTCAAAGACTTTGAATTGATGAATGTTTGAAATTACAAAAACATCCACTTTTCGGCTTAAATGCAAAAACTCTGGGCACTCTTCTTTTGAGCATAGATCAACCTTTTCGAAATTTCTTAAATTATTTGTGAAAATTTAAAAAAGGTTAAAAATACTTTGACATGTGAATTCTATCAGCAGAAACAAAATTCTTCCATCTATCAAAAGCCACTTTGTCATTATGATCTTTTAGCAAAACATTTAGTAAAAATGCTTTTAGTGTAGGTTTTTGTACAAGCAACGTATGAAGAATGTCGTTGAATTGGTCTTTACTCCAAGTTTTTTCTAGATAAAATTTATGAGCAGCTTTGCGAATAAGAGAACAAGACCAATTATCGCTGATAATATTCTCATGTTCTGATAATTCTTTAAAAAATATGAAAATGAAGGAAGTAAAAAATAAATAAACCATTTCTTAGGTCAGCCAATAAAGAAGTAATTGTTTTACAAAACTGAGAAAAAGGAGGCAAAAGGTCAGGATTCTTATGAGTAAATTCCAAAGCAGCTTTACGCCAATCAGACTCGTCTTTAGTCCATTTCTCTGCCTGAAAAGAAGATTTACAATTAAAACAGGAGGATATTTACCATTTCAAGCAATTGTCGAACTTCAGAACGAAATTCACCCGTTCGATTACCAACAAATGCCTCTACAGTCCGGGCATCAAGAGGTCCAAGTAATAGTGCAATAATTATAACTTTAGGAAATGCCAACTGGTATGCGACGCTGTGATTCAGCAAGCAAAATTGAAGAACACTAAAACTAAAAAAGAAGAGAAATGAAGGATCTTAAATATCAATAGTAAAAATAAATAAACGATCAACTTGGAAAAAGTTATAATTTTAGTAGTAATATAGTCACAAATTTCTTAACGGTTAATAATTGACCAAAATTTTAATGAATCAAAAAAATTACCTAGCCTGTCCCATATTCAAAAAATCAAAAACTTTTGAAACAAAAGAAAGAGATTGTTTTGATTGTTGAAGGTCTAAAACACTTGCAATAGTTTTCCATGAATAAGAACAGCCCTTGCAAATTAAATCAATAGGAATAATCAAATCGAGCAATTTTTCACGTTTTGGCGGATAGAACACAATACGCTGCTTAATATTTTGGTCGGAATTGAGCCTTGCTTTGTTCTTTTGTGCCTGCTTATTGTGACTTTGCACCCACACAAAGAAACTCTAAATGAAAATGGTTAAATCAATGTATTGACAAGGCGTATCCAGCGGTAAATTTAGGGGGGGCTAACATTGTTCGTGGGTCTAACTTTTTAAGTATGCAGGGGTGGACTAACTTCGGGAGTGCACAAAGGTGTATCACCTGAATGAGAATTTGTACCTGAATAAGAATTTGCTCAACACTTGCAGAATTCAACAGAGTGGAATTTTGCAGCTGACTAGCCAAATCAGTTTCGGATTTGATCGATTGAACATGTTTTAACGCAGCAATGAAAAAATCAACAACATGATCAGCTGGTATTTTTGAAAAAAGCTTCTGTCCGCATTCAAGTCTTGTTGAAAATGGATGCTTCTAAAAGAAATAAGCTTCGTAAATTATGCGAAAATTTAGTTACCTTTCTATGTGCACCATTAACTCCATGTCTTTTAGGTTGTTGAATAGGTGAAGTATTCATCCGTATAATCACTTCAAGTAAGTCATCTAGTTGTTGCTTTGGAAATGCGATGGAATCAGGTTCAGTAATAATTTCCATCAACAAATTTAAAATAAAAACTATAAATGAATCAAATTAGTGAATCAAATCTAAAATTTCTGTGAATTTTTACATGTGGTTTACCTTACCAAATAAAAGAAGAACAATTAAGGATCCTCAGCTGCGGCTGGCACGAAGGATTCTAAAAAAATGATTCCATAAATAAAATCAGAATGCCATAAATAATTGGGACACGCCCTCCTTGTCGCGACCACCTTGTCGCGACCACTTTGTCGCAGGTTACCTTGTCGCAGGCCCACCTTGTCGCAGGCCACTTTGTCGCAAGGGGTGAAAAATTTTTATGCTGATATGGAGAGTAGGAAAAAGGCATTCTGGGCACGATCGGGGTTTTCTGGAGTAATCTGGTTCGGTATTACTCTGTCAAAACCTCCGGAAGAATTTACCCGGATAAGAGAAAATAATTAAAGGGAAAAAGCACTCAAAACTTAATCAAAAAATTTTTAAAAAAGCCATTGTCGCGCTTCACTAATTAAATTTGTGACCCTAAGCAGGGCAGTTTGGGTTTGTTTTTCTTGTCAATGTTCTCCTAATTTAAACATCTTCGTTCCTTCAGAAACTTCTAACTTGAAAATCGCCAGTCAGAAACTGACGGAAATCAACTAAAAAATTAAAAAAAAACTTAAAAAAACAAAATAAAAATTCCAAACCTTTCTAATTTTCCCATCGTTGTAGCCGTGGCATGAAGTATGGCACATGGCGAGCAAAGTTTGGGCCAACCTTAAAAGAAAAACCAAAGGAAAGCTTGCGACAAAGTGGCCTGCGACAAGGTGGGCCTGCGACAAGGTGGCCTGCGACAAAGTGGTCGCGACAAGGTGGTCGCGACAAGGTGGCCCGCGACAAGGTGGGCCGTACCCTAAATAATTGTTTGGCATTTATAATGCGGACTTTTAAAATATTTTTTGCATTAACAACAAAATTTGGTGCTTAATTTCGACAGAGATTAATTCGATGGTAAAAAATGTCTTTAAATTTGCTTGAGAATGCATAGGAAGGTTGTCCGAATATCTTGGAAAAGCTAAAGCTAAAAAATATATTTGAAAACTTATTCTAAATAAGATCCCTTAAAAACACGTTAAATTATTTCAACCTTTCAAAAATTTTAGATTTTTATTTAAAGACTAAATACGTTTTTTAAACAATGGTTGAAGGTCCTGTAAAACCTGTTCTCGAAAACAATATGAAACGTGGTTTTGTCAAACAGGTTCTCCAATTTTTTTAAATTTTATTTTAAATTTTTATTTTAGGTCTTGAGTGGAGATTCTGTTGTATTGCAATTTTCGGTAGCGCCTGGAAGTCCTCCCAATGAAACTACCGTTTATTTATGTAATGTCGTTGCTCCAAGGTTGGCTAAACGTCCAACAGAGAATACAGCTGCTACACCGGATGAGGTTATTTATAAATAAGCATAGAAGGAGAACATAATTTTTTAGCCCTACGCCTGGGAAGCGCGAGAATTTATTCGTAAAAAGTTAGTTGGTCAAACAGTTACTTTTGTGCGGGAGTTTACTGCTACCTCAGGACGTGAGCATGGACACATTTACCTTGGTGGCACAGGTTTTATTTGATCATTTTAAGCTTTAGTTATGTTCTACTAAGGGCTCGAAAGCGCAGAGAACGTTACGGAATCAGGAGTTTCTGCCGGTCTTTTGGAAGTTCGACCAGGAAAACAAATTGAGTTAGTTTAAATTTGTAATCATTTATGTTTTTTTCTTAGCGAGTCTACAAAAAAATTGTTGGAATTACAAGAACAAGCAAAAGAGGCAAAGAAAGGTCGATGGTCTGGCGATGAACCAACAAAGCACGTCAGAAGTATCCAATGGTCTTTTGATGATCCCCGATCTTTGGTTACTAAATATGGTGGAAAGCCTGTTGATGCAGTAATCGAACAGGTTCTTTGAATTTTTTTATTTGTAATAGAATTTTAGGTTCGTGATGGAAGCACTGTCAGAGCATTTTTGTTGCCTTCCTTTGATTATGTCACAATTGGTTTCAGTGGAGTAAAGGTTGTTTATAATTATAAATTAAATTTTTTTATTCTCATTTAGACACCGGGAGTGCGTGTCGGAACTGAAGGAAAGCCTGAAGAATTTGGAGAAGAAGCGAAGTTTTTTGTTGAGATTCGACTTCTTCAGCGAGATGTGAAAGTCATTTTAGAAAGTACTTCGAATCAAAACTTCATTGGTAGCGTGCTTCATCCACGAGGGAATATTGCTGAATTTTTGCTGAAAGACGGTTTGGCAAAATGTCTTGACTGGACAATGGGTCTTGTAACTGGTGGTGGTGAGAAACTACGTGAAGCAGAGAACTTTGCAAAGCAACGACGTCTACGCATCTGGTATTTTTATGTTAACTTTTATACATTATCTTCTCTTCAAGGAAAAATTTCAATGCTCAAACGACATCGGCACCTTCTATCAATAAGAGCGGATTTTCTGCAAAAGTTGTTGAAATTGGTCTTTGCGATTCACTTTCTGTCTTGAAGGACAATGGGGAGGAATTGAAAGTTTATTTCTCCTCATTGAGACCTCCTAGGTTTTTACTTTATTTGTTGTTAAACATTGTTTAATGCAGGCGAGAAGGCACAGACGGCGCTCTTCCTGTTCAAACGGCTGTTAGAACGCAACCACGGCCTCTTTATGATATTCCTTTTATGTTTGAAGCTAGGGAATATTTGCGAAAACGGCTTATCGATAAACGTGTCACCGTCATGATTGATTATGTGCAACCAAAACAAAACCAATTTCCCGAGAAAACTTGCTGCACAATATTATTCAATGGTCAAAATGTTGCTATTATGATGATAGAACGTGGATATGCTAAGGTTCTTTAAACTTATTTAACTTTTGTACTTGTATTTTGTTATAGGTCATTAGACATCGAAGTGATGATGATAATCGATCTCAGCAGTATGATCAACTTATTGCAGCAGAAACTAAAGCTGAGGCCGAGAAAAAGGGTCTTTGGGCGGATAAAACTGACCAAGCAAATACTCTACGTGTTCAAGAACTCCAGGGAGATGCTCAACGTTCCAAGCAATTTCTTCCCTATCTGCAGCGTTCGCAGCGTATTGATGGACTAGTTGAGTTTGTGGCAAGCGCCTCACGTCTTCGCGTTTATGTGCCAAAAGAATCTTGCTTAATAACATTTCTCCTCTCGGGGATAAATGCACCTCGTACGGCAAGGATTGGACCAAATGGACAGCAGATTGGAAGTGATGAACCTTTTGCAGTGCAAGCAATGAACTTTACTCGTCATAAATGTCTGCAGCATGATGTTATATTTTTCTCTTAACTCGTTTTATACTTTAATATTATAGGTTCAAATCGAGGTAGAGACTATGGATAAAGCTGGTGGATTTATTGGTTATTTATTTGTGCAAGTAGAACGAGGCGTTTGGAAGAACCTTTCCGAGTTATTAGTGGAGAATGGACTCGCAAGTGTACATTTTACTGCTGAACGTTCTTCATATTATACTCTTTTGACGAACGCGGAGAGAATTGCAAAAGCTGCAAAACTAGGCATTTGGAAGCATCATGTTGAGGAAGAGCAACAACTTATTGACGATAATCAAAAACAAGGCAATGATACAACTGAACGAAAATTAGAGTTAAAGAAGATTCTGCTCACAGAAGTTTATACAGGGTTCCGTTTTGCTGCGCAAACTTTTGATGATGGTTAGTTAAGGATTTTTTGCAGATTGCTAACTTATTAAATTTTAGGTCTTTCAATCGAGAAATTAATGAATGCCTTACAACTTGAACTCAAAACACCGTCTATCATTAAATTTGTTCCAAAGCGAAATCAACTTTGCGCTGCTAAATATACAGATGGGAATTTATGGCATCGTGCACGTGTTGAAGGTGTAAAGGGAGACAACGTTGATGTGTAGGCTTTATTAAATTTTTGCTATTTTATTTAATCTTTACTTAATTTTAGGCTGTACATTGACTTTGGAAATGTATTTTTTTTTATTTTAATATTCGCTTTCAGTCACATTTATTATTATTTTCAGAGGGAGACTTTGTCAATGAGCCGAATCGCTCCACTTCCTCCACAATTCCAATCTCAAGCGCCTTTTGCGAAAGAATATCAACTAGCTTTAGTATCAGGTAAATTTTTGATCAAAATATTTCTAAAAAAATTTTTTCAGCTCCGCCTGATCCTTCATACGCTGACGATTCAATGCTAGCATTTAAGCGCCTCTGTTTCTCGAAACCATATTTATATTTGAATGTTGAATATCGAATCGGGGGATTAGAGGCTGTTACAGTGTTTGCAGATGATAATAAGGGGGAGAAGCGTGATCTTGCGAAAAAACTTATCATGGATGGTTATGCTCTTGTGGAAAAACGACGAGAAGCGCGCTTTCAGCAATTGGTATTTATTTTATTAAATATTAAGGGTATCACGACTTTTGCGCCGAGAACATTTGCGCCGCGACTTTTGCGCCGCGACTTATGCGCCGCGACTTTTGCGCCGGGCGACTTGTGCGCCGCGACTTTTGCGCCGGGCGACTTATGCGCCGCGACATTTGCGCCGCAATAATTATAAAAAATAATATCTACAGTCGAACATAATTATAGTGTAAGTCTTAAAAAATGGCGTCCAGGAACTGAAGGAATTTCAGGAAGTACAATATTTCAGGAAGTACAATAGCCCCTTCTAATAAACAGACCCCCTAGAGGTGTCATCTTCAAAGAACTTGACTTTTTCGGATCAGGATATTTGGTCTGCTACCCCTATTCAAGCATGATTTTCTGCCAGAAGAGATTTGGCAGAAAAGATGCAAAATTCGCACTATAGTTAAGGTTGTCGGGTCCAGATATCCGGATCTGAAAAAGGCCGGATAGCCGAATTCGGCCTTTCTATAGTGAGGCCCGATGTAGTTTTTTATAATTATTAATAATAGTGGCGGCGCAAAAGTCGTCCGGCGCAAAAGTCGCGGCGCAAAAGTCGCCCGGCGCATAAGTCTCGGCGCAAAAGTCCCCCGGCGCAAAAGTCGCTCGGCGCAAAAGTCGCGGCGCAAAATTCGCGGCGCAAAAGTCGCGGCGCAAATGTTCACGGCGCAAAAGTCACGGAACCATATTAAGAGGAATAGATTTATGTAAAATTAGAATTAGTGTTGGCAGTTTGAGCGTATTTTCTATATAGTCTTGCATGATTTTCTGCTTATTTTTTAAGTTAACAAATAAAAATTTTTTTAGGTTGTTGATTATGTGGAGCAGGAAACAAAAGCTCGTAAAGCGCATCTGAACATTTGGCGATATGGTGACTTCACAGGCAATGAATTGTAGATACATATTGACTGATGTGAGAAGTTTTTAAGCGATAAATTTGTTTTTTTGTTATTCTTATTTTAAATACACTTCATTGTGTGCAAAGATAGTTAAATTTTAATTGGGAAATAATTATATTAAAATCCTATAGAATTGTTGACAGATAAAATTGCTCCTGTTACTCTGTTTCCTTTTTTACCCACTGTGATCCGTATTATTGTAATTTTTATTTATCTTTTGGGATTTGGCTTGTTAATTAAAATATAAATTGTTGTTGAATATTTTGTTATTTTAAAATTCACTTTATTAATTTGTAAATACAAGTTATATTTTCTTTTTTTATTCTTTATTGTTTTAAACTTATTTTAAAGAAATGGCAAAAGATACAGAAGTGACAGTGCATAGGACTGGTCTTTTCAAATTACCTCCAAAGAAGCATTCTTCAGGTCGGCATCGCAGTAAGCATGCAATTGCCAAAGAACAAAAAGGTTAAATTCTGTTGTTTGCTTATATTTTGTTTTTGAAACCCGTACAAAGTCAGGGTTTTTGTATGAGTTTTTGTTTCGTTAGTGAGTGTTGGCTGACTTACTGATTTTATATCCGCTTACTCCTTTTGTTAGGGCACTACATTCTCAAGTTGTTTAAATTTTCTATTTTAGGGAAGGTTGGTATCAAATCAAAATCCCAACCAAAGTTTAAGAATTTGAAGAAGTTGGCTCGAAAAAATCGTTCTTCGCAGATCCGAGCTAATAAAGTTGGAAAAATATCAGAAGAGAAGCGAAAAGAAGGGCAGTCACCTATCAACATTGTATGTTATTTTACTCTTGTTTTGCTGCGAATTTCTTGGTGCATTTTTTTATCTAGACATTTTTGTTTTTAGACAATAATTTCACTTGACGAGGCTTTCACATCACGTAAAATTGTGGAGACTTTTAATCTTGCCGACGAGGATGCAATTATACATGTGAATGAAAAGAGAAATATTTCTCATCTAGCGTACTTTTTACTCTAATTCTATTCATTTTTGTTTTTAGTGTCCCTCGCTTCAAACAACGTTACATTTTCTTTTGCCCTGATACTACTTCAATTATCTCTACGCTCGATTTTTTAAGAGTTTCTGATATTTTAGTCATTTTATGGCCAACTGAAACAACAAATTTAAATATTGCGCATAGTCGCTTATTGGATGTTATTACTGCGCATGGATTCCCACCAACATTTAATCTGGTTTCAACACTTCCTGCTTCTGGAAAACAACGTGATTCAACACGAAAAGCGCTTGAGAAGCTTATGGCGCCTTGGTAATTTTTAATATATCTTTTGTATTGTATTTTTAAAATTTTCTTACCTATAAATCTATCCGTTATTTACATTAATACATTTCCAATGATTTAAAAAATTCATTTAGGGCAAAAGACTCTCGAATCTACGATTTACAAGGTGGCAGTCCTCTTCAAATTCTTCGACAAATTTCTACTACACGCAAAGTCCGCTCGAATCTACAAAAATTAAGGCCTTACTTAATTACTGAAAATGTTCAAATAATTAAAACTGAAGTGGGTTAATAAATAATTTAATTATTAAATACTTTTGTTTAAATTTAAGGACAATTCAGATTCTTTCTCCCTTCTCATTTCTGGTTATTTAAATGGTGCTCCTTTAAATGTTAATGGGCTGGTTCACATTTCTGGTTGTGGTGATTTCCAATTGAGTCAAGTTGTATTTGAGAATGATCCGCATCCATTAAAACAATCCAAGGTATTATTTGAGTAATTATATTTAATTTTTAAATATTTAGAAGGCAGAATCAATGGAAATACTCAGAGCTATTAAAGCCGACCCTTTAAAGCAAACACAGCTTGATAGTGAGATTATTCAGGATCCAATGAATATTGATCAACCGGAGATGGATGAAAATGAAGAAAAATGTATTAGATATTTTTTATAATTATTTAAAAAAAATTTCCAGACGCAGTTCCGAAGGTAAAGCTTCCAGAAGGGACTTCAGAGTACCAGGCTAGCTGGTTAATTGATGATGATTATGAAGAGGATGATGATGAGGAGGAAGAGTCTGATGAGTGTGATTCTGTTGAAGACGAAGACAATGGAAACGACTTGCATGGAACGGAAAATGGTTTCTGTGCACAGATGGAGGATGAAAATTTTTCTCAAAATGGAGGTGATTCTCATTCTGTCGTTGAGAGTGCCACAATGGACGAATCAATTGATCTGAACGACATTGATATTAATGATGATCATCAGAAAGAGTTATTTAAAAAGGAACGTGAAAATCGTCAATGGCCTGATGAGGTCGAAGCACCTGAGGGAATGAATGCACGTGATAGGTTTAAACGTTATCGAGGACTGAAAAGTTTTAGGTTTTATTTGAATAATAATAAACATTAACTTTTTATTTTAGAACAAGTCCGTGGGATCCAAAAGAGAATTTAACAAAAGATTATGCACGGATCTATAAAATTGTAAATTTCAAAAGAACGAGGAAACTTGCGCTTGAGGCAGCAAAACAATCGTTTCAGGCAGCTGATGAGGGTGACGAACAGTTTTGTACTCCTGGTGCTTACATTACATTGTGTGTCAAAGATGTGCCTAGTTCATACGGTTTCTCAAAACTTTAGTGAGAGATTTATTCATACTTTATTTTTAGAAAACCATATTTCTTCCACACATTCTCCTTTAATTGTTTTTGGTCTACTCAAAAATGAACATAGAATGTCCACCTTAAATATGATTTTACATCGATATCCATCATTCAATAAGCCTGTCAAGAATAAGGAAGAATTACTCTTTCAAGTTGGATGTCGTCTTTTTACTGCAAATCCTGTATTTTCACAACATACAAATGGAAAGAAGTTTAAGGTCCGTTTTTTTGTTTGATTTTTGAAGTGGAATACATTTTTATAAACAAAAACACTTTAAGATGGAACGTTTTATGCCTTCATCTGGAGCATTTTGTGCTACTGTTTTTGCCCCAATCACCTTTCCACCCTCAAATGTTTTAGTTTTCCGGCAATGTTCCCCTGAAAAACTTCAATTAATAGCAAAAGGAATTGTTCTTGATTCAAATCCTGACAGAATTATTCTCAAACGTGTCCGGCTCTCCGGGCATCCATTTAAAGTAAATAAAAGGACAGCGGTTGTGAGGTATATGTTCTTTAATAGAGGTTTGTTTTTTATCTATATTACTATTTATTTCTTGTTTTTTAGAGGATATAGAGTGGTTTAAACCCGTTGAGTTATACACACATAGTGGAAGGCATGGACGTATTAAACAACCATTAGGTACTCATGGCTTGATGAAATGTGTTTTTGATCGTCCATTGAGTGTGCAAGACTCAGTTTTAATGAATTTATACAAAAGAGTTTTTCCAAAGTGGACATATAATGCCGAAACTAGAGGAAAACAATTTTGCATTTCTGATGAAGCAGATGATACATTAGAAGAAGAATGGTCAGGAAAGAAGGACAAAGTAAGATGGGATGAATTTATGGATGATGAGTAATTATTTGTTAGATCCTTTTTGTTGAATTTTCATGTTGAATATAATAAATTTATTAAATTAAAATCATTCAGCTGACTAATCCAGCTTTTTCTTTTCTTGAACTGTTGAAGAATTACAAATTTTGTCTCTTATTTCGAATTCAAGCCAATCATTTTTAGTTAGACTAGGATTTAATCGAAGTTTAGAAAATGGAAACTATGCAACACGCTCGCTCTAGAGCAATTGTTTTGCAGGATTTTGAAAGTTTACTGAATGATCTAAACTCACGGAAGGATAAATTTATTGGGAATAATTATGTCAAATGTCAGGTAAATTATTTTGGTAACCTCATAGTGCTGTTAAATTTAGGGTGGTTCGGATAATACTTTTGATAACATTTCATTCGACTTATCTGGTGATAAGCTGACAGATTCAATAACTACAATTTTTTCAGACATTCTTATTTCTGCTAATAATTTAATTCAAACGTCCCAGGAATTATTTGAATCAATTTCTATGTATGATGAAGGTTTGTAAAATTAATTAAGGACTTTATAACCTGTCATTTTTTATATAGCTTTTCGTTTCTATTTTCTGTGGTATTTATACTTTCAATTCCTTTTTCAGTAGATAATGAGGGTAGTTCGGTTCTCGAAACAATTGTTGAGTTTTTACCATTTTTACAAAAGCTTGAGCAGTTTGTCTATACAACGAGTGAATTAACTAAAAATTTACTACTTCAAATCCATGGATTTTTAACTTTTGGTCGAAATGAAATCAAAAATCATCGGGCAGATCAATTGCCACTAACAAGGATGTGGAGAACACTTGGCGACCTTTTATCAACATTTGCTGGTTTTCTTTTGAAATTATTTTTTGATACAAATTTTTTTAGTTCTTGATGCTTTGATTTTATCACATCCTTTCCTTCGTGAACATTGGGCTGTTTTATTACGTTCTGTTCGTTTGGTGCAATTTAATCCAGCTCAATTTGATTTGGAAGGACTTTCTACTGGTCGTTTACAACACTTAAATGCTTTAATTGAAAGGCTAGATTTAGTTTTAATGAATGGAAAGATTTTAACGGTAATTATATTTTATTTGTCCATGGGGTAATTTGGGCCGAATAACTGACAAAAATTACAAATTTTATTCATTTGATTCAATGAAAACTAATAATAAGAGTTATTTTTTAATTTAGAATACTTGTATTAAACTTACACGATTCGACCAACTTTCGTCAGATCGTCAATTTATGGAACGTTTTCGTCTAGCAATAATGCAAATGTTAACTAATTGGGAAAAACATATAAATTCTTCAGAAAATGCAATTCCCGATAAAAAGAGGCTTATTTGTTTATTAACATTATCCAAATTATTTCATCATTTATTACCTGAACGACAAAAACCTGACAAAAAAATTATTTCAAAATTATTGGGAATAAACAAAAATTTAATTTCTTTCCATTTATTTGCTGATTTGTTGTTTATACCTTTTGATTTTATTTTAAAAGAAATACTTGGCGCTAGTAAAGTTGTGGACAAAAAAGTTTCTTCTACAATAGAAATTGCAAAAGGATGTCAATTAAACAAACTTTTGGAAAATCTTTACAAATATGTTCAAACAGTTAAATTTTATATATTTTTTAATTAAATATATAAGTGTAATCAGAATTGTGTTTTGGAGAGACGAATTAATTTTTTTACTTTTTTAGTTTTCACTAAATTTAAATGATTGGCAAAAGAGAATGCAAGAAGAAGAGAAGGGATCCACTCCTGATTATTTAAAATTTTGTGATTTATTTATTGAAGGTATTCATATGGGAGAAAAGTTGAATAGATTACTTAAATATATTTTAAATATTCATTTGGCTGAACAAAAACCAATTTCGAAAGCTAATGTTAGGCTAATATTTGTGCTTATTCAATTTGTTAAGGTTTTAATTTAAAATAAATTCTTTAATCTTCTCTCCACTCATTTTAGACCATTTCAAATACTTTTACCTCTAATTGGAATTCTATACTCGAAGCAATTAATTATGGTTGTGTTCATCTTTCTGCTTCTATTCTTTCAATTTTACAATCAATTATTCAATCAAATGGAGAATCCAAACAGCCATTCTTTGCTAATTCAATTTTAAATTCTGCTATTTCATTGAGTCAACCAGTTGGTAGAAAGGCATTAATTGTTGCTGGAGTGTCTTTGGAATTGGCAAATTATCAAGTTTGTTTGAATTTTTTAAATATTTTGGGGCAACAGAGTGAAATTCCTTAAAATAATTTTAAGAATTATTTAAGAAAACGTTGCGAGGAAATGACGTCCAAATAGACGAAACACTGAAAAAACTCGATATTCTCTGCAATTTTGGTCATGTACTTTCAAATTCTACTGATCTTTCCTTTTTGTATTGGCATCGACTTTCACTTATGCAAGCTTTTTGTGAAGATTTAATTCAGGAACAAATAACTGATTTTTCGAATGAAGATTTACCTAGAACTATAACTGTAAAATAATTTGAAATTATTTAAATATTCTTATTTTTAAGGACTTTTTCAGTGCAATTAATGAATGTGGCCGTTTAATAATTTCTGTCAAACATTGTGATCAACAAACTTTTCTTCAAACATTTAGCAATGAATTGTTTTTAATTATTACAAATGTTTGTGCTTTATTTTAATTTTTTAAAATAATTTATTTAACTTTTTAGAATTTTCTTTCAAAACTTTGTACCGAAATTGAAAATGATCTTAGACTTTCTTATCATCAACAACAAAGTTCTTCTTTTGAACAATTAGAAAAAGTGTTTTCCACACAAAATCCTTTACAACAAGAAGAGAAACCTTTAAATAAACTTTTATTAAATTTACTTCAAATTCCTAAGATTAAACTTGGAAATAGAATAATTGTTGTTTTTGGTTAGTTTTTTGAAGAATCTTTAACACTAAATCTTTTGAAAAATCCTTTTTTAAGATTATGTCACAAATTATTTATCCTCTACATTTTATAATTTTTCTGTTATTGCTTTACACGATTCTGAAGCTTATAATCGAATGAGAATTTTAGCTAAACATAGATACGGGTTGAATTTGGAAGATTATCAATTACCAACTAGATGTGTTGATCAAGGTTTTTAATTAATTTTTTTAACTTTTTTTTATTTTTGTTTTTAGGTCTAGATTTAATTACTTTAATGAGTGAAGAGAAAATGAGTAAATTTTTGGAGGATTATTGCTATGATTTAGATGAACAGGTTCTCTTGAAAAATAATTCAAAAAATACTTTTTAAAGTTTTTTATTGAACGCTCAAGTCAAAGCAAACAATTGGCTATCGTTAGAGTACAACAAATTGTAAATTCAATTAAAACCCATGGAATAGGAATTTTAGATCCTTTGGTAAAAAATTTTTTTATCTACAAAATCTTTTATATAAATCGGGTATAGTATTCATGTCCACTAGCACAATTCTCAAGCCTCTCAAATTTATAATTTGTTCCATTATATATTTAGATAAATACTTCATATAAATATATGCGTTCTCAATTTCAACTGCTTTCTCGCTGCCTTTCTGATGAAAAACTTAAATCAACATTAATTCGTGAAATTTGTTTTTATCGAGATTCAATTGACCAATTAGAACAAATGTATCCAATGGAAAGAGCTGAGAAAATGACAAATAGTTTAAAACGTTATTGCCATAAAATTGGTGGTGGACCTTCTTTAAATATTGTTGAAAGATTAAGGGTTTGTTTTCTTTTTAATTTTTATTTAATAAATTTTTTTAAATTTAGATTTTGATAGTAAGGTTTGTTATTTAATATTTTAATAATTAAAAATAAGAATTTGAACATTAATGGTGTTCCATCAATCCAAAAACCACTAATAGTAAAACTACTATGAAAAAGCATAGACCTCCTTCATGTTCTCCAAATAGTGCCAAAGTTGTGCTGGGACCATATCCAGAATGTAGAGGACTGGGAGAAGAGTTTTATCGGACTACTATAAGGATGTTCAATTATGACAGATAAAATAAATAAAAAAATATTTCTTCAGAATAGGAAATATGATTGGCCTTTTACGCATGTTTCGTTCGGGGATTTTGGAAACTTTTGCACCAAATATAACCTTTGGATTTAAGCATAAAGAATCAATGTCTGATTTAATAAATAATTTTGACAAAAATTCAATTCAAAATAATTGTGCAAAATTGTGTGATAAAATATCTTCAAATATTACTGGTTATTTAACTTCAAATAATGATTCTATTGAGGTTTTTAAATATTTTTTAAGAATTAAAATATTTTTTTAAGCTTTTAACTTCAATGTTTGCCAAAGAATTTCGAGGAAATAATAAATTTGCTCATTTAAGAGATTTTTTTATTTTAATTCCAACACTTATGATTGTCCAAATTGAATATATTTCTAAATGTAGAGCTCGTTTAAGTAACAAAAAGATGTCATTGAATGAAGATTTGGCTGTTGCTGGAAGTTTTAATGAACAATTTATTTTTGTTGAAGATGGATTTAGTATTGGTATTTTTTAAATATTTATTTAGTAGAGGTAGCTGACTATTGTCTCAAAAACATTCATTAGTCTTACTCATTAGATTTTTGTTAAGCTGATAATGAAGACTGATAAGCGTACAATAAGTTAATAAACAATTAGGCAAGTAGTCTCCTTGTTTTTAATTAATAAGATTCATAATTCTTTTTTATCTTCAGGTATTGCCTATGTGCTTACTTTACTTAATCAACAATTCTTTTTCAATTCACTTAATTGGTTTGACTCTGTATTTAACAAAATTCATTCTGAAGTAATTAAATGCAAAAATGAACAGAAATTAGCTTTAAAAGCAAAAGATGAATCTTTGGCAAGACTTTTAGCACTCAAACAAAGCCAACTTAATGAACAATTGGAAGAATTCAAACGTTTAATGTATTCATTAAATTCTGCCCTTACATTTTTGCAAGCAAATGAAGTTTGTGATGAAAATATTGAAGAGACGTATTTAGATGATTTTTAGAATATACGGGATATTTGGTTTTAAATTTTGTATTTTAACAAAATATCTTTAATTATTTATATCAAAAATTGCAAAATTATAATTAAATAAATTATAGAATACCAAAATAAAATCCAATTTGGATACAATCTAAAAATAAATTAAGTAACTTTAACCATACTTTTGTCCTCTAATTTCTATTTATTCTCCAATAATAACAGGAATATTTTCCTTATAAATTTCCTCGTCTTGCTCGTTGAACACGCAAAAGATAATTTTGTCAATTGAAGAATCTTCATTTTCTTTGAACCAATTCTTCTAAAAATTCAAAAAAAATCTAAAATTATTTTTAAAAACATTACAATAGTTGTCAACGCAATTTGACAAGCTTCATCTTTCGGAAAGTGATAAATACCAGTAGAAATGCAAGGGAATGCCTAAAATAATTTAAAATGTTTTTAGATAAAATATTTGTTTTACAATGCTCTTTAATTTATTTTGATGTGTCAGATCCATCGAATTCTTATAGCAATTACTGAGAAGTTGTTTATCCGAATCACTAACCCCCAAATTAATAATTGGACCAACAGTGTGAATAATTGCTAAAAATAAATTGATAAAGACAAAAAAATCCCTTAAAAATAAACCTTTAACGTCTTTAATATTATAAGCTTTAGTCATCTTAACTTCGCCAGTTTTACACCCATTAAGTTGTTTACATTCTTCTAATAATTCTGGACCAGCTGCAGCATGTATAGCACCATCTACTCCCCCACCTTTTTATAAAATTTAAATTAAGGAATTTAAGAATGAAACCTCCAAGTAGGGACGAATTTGCAGCATTAACGATAACATCAACAGCTAATTTTGTGATATCCCCTCTTGTTACCAGAAGTTTTTTGCGAATCGAAGACATCATTTACTAAAATAATTAAAATTATCTATCTGTTCTTATGACTAATTTTCTTTTGGACAATCCTAATTTTTATGTTTTGAAAATATTCTGAGTTGTATGTATTTTGAAAATATTGTTTTATATTTTACAAAATGTAAACACACTTAATTTTTTCATTTTGGTAATTATTGGGATAATTGAGTCTTGCCTTTTATTTCCATTAGAGATCGAAATTTTGAAAAAACCGGGCCCGGAAAACGGGTTCTGAAAGTTGACCGTGAGAGACCCGGACCGGAATACATTATTCTGCTCATTTTTCAGCTGTTTAAAGACAATTTATTTTTACGTTCTTAAATAATCTAAAAACTCCTAAACATTTTTTAAAATTTTCTACTATTTTATTTAAATTTGCTTTTAAAAAATGCTTTATTCTTTATCTTCTAAAACGAAGCTTCTATCAACAATTATTGGCATTTAAACAAACAAATATTTATCTGCTCAACTTTGTTAATAAACATGAGGGGGAACTTGCTAAGGAGAAGTTTACTATGATTTGTCTTGTAATTGCTTTTTTAATTAATTTTGAAAAAATTTTCTTTTTAGGGTGATATTGGTGGATTTAATGGAATTCCTCGTAAATTGATTGACACAAAGGCTGAAGATTTTGACTTTCCAATGACCAAGGAAATTGAAGAGAAGGTTTTTAAATTTTTAAACATCAAATTTCCTGGTAAAATTGGAGTTTGTATTAGAGATCGATATTTTTGGAAACCCTGGGCCTTTTCTTGGGTTTGATTTATTGTTTTTCTTTTTAGTTCAAAAATGGATTTAAAAAGCCAATTCCTTTGTTTTTATCTGGTCATGGTACAGGCGAAATTGATATCTACTTGGAGAAAGGTTTAATTTTGTTCAAAAAATTGGTAAAACCTTGGGTAGGGGGAAATTCTATTTTCCAAAACTCGGCCAAATGGTTTTGCTTTTAAATTTTTTGGGCTTTTAAATTTTCTTTTAACCTAAAAAATTTTTTAGTTGACAAAAGTGAAGAATATGTACTTCGACTTCCACCAATTATTAAAAGCAAAGAGGACATTCAAATTGTTTATCATTATTTGAATAAGTTGTTTAAGTGCTCATTCAAATGCTCCTACTTTGAAGACTATATAATCAATCCAGAATTGATTGAATTATTATTTGGGGAAGCTAAACAATTTTACGTTCAAAATTGCAATATCTCTATTAATAACCACAATATTAAAGTTTTAATGCGATTGATTTTGAATAATCTGGCTAGTGAATATCATCGAATTTCTTTTCAACCAATGGGTGATGACACTATGAAGAAATATAAGGATGATTTGTTCAAAATTTTATTAAATGGAGGAGACAAATTTGGAAAGGTTAATGTGATGTTCTATTGTACTCCAGGATTCTACAAAAATGTTTATAATGATATTGTTGAAGTGAGTTATCTAACTGGGGCCAACCCTGAAGATCCTCAACTTTTGAAACGATTTAGAGAGGATAAAGGAACTTATGCAGTTTCCCTCACCCGGTCAGTTATTATGAACAAACTTGTCAGACTTTTTTCCCTTGCAAAAATCTAACGAATTATTCTATCTGAAGCATCATTCGGCCCAGGCCCGTAGCCAGGGGGGGTGAGGGGGGGGAATTCCCCCCCCCCCCCCGAAATGGGAAAAAGGAAAAAATTTGGGTAAGGGCTGGGGCAAAAAAAGTGAATTTTTTTGGCTTACGGCCTCTGAAATTTAAAATTTTCGCCTGCGGCGCTGAAAAGAAAATTTTTGGCGCCTTCGGCGCCAAAAATTTGGCGCAGAAAAAATTTCCTCCCCTTGGCCCTCCCCCCCCCCCCCCCCCCGAAAAAAAATCCTGGCTACGGGCCTGATTCGGCCCTATCTGGAAAAAATCTGACCATTTTGTATACCACGAAAAAAAACTCACTGGTGAGGGAAACGCACATTAGTACCGGGATAAGCACTTGGCTCTATGGAGATGAGTACCTAATTCTGTATTTTAGAATGGTGCTATATTTCCCTTTCAAAAATTATAGGTCTTTAGAGTGTAGGTCTCCATGGGTAGACTACCTCAGAGTTAAAAATAAAATTTAAAATTTTCAGTATGTGGCAACCTCTAAAGACGTTTCGAAAATGGTACCTATCATAATTTTTGATTTCTCTAGTTGCAAAAGCCTTAAATTACACGACAAAGCGACAAATGTTGAAGTTAAGAAATTAAATGATAAGAAATCTACTACTTATCAAGTTGTCAACATTCACGATCCAACGGTTAAATTCTTGTTTTGTAATGAAGAGAGTTTCTACGTTAGAATTACAATTATGAAGGAGTAGAATTTGGAAAGACGAAAATAAATTTGTTGATTTATTGGAGAAATAAATATTTATTTTTAGAAAATATATTTCAACTTTTTTCATTGACTTCCCAGTTAAATTATTTTCGCATAATTTATTTGTTTAAGTGGTTAAAGCTTGAGATTTTTATAAACTTTGGCTAATTTGCCACAACCGTATATTTTTTACGATTTTTGCGAATATATGGATTTGTTCCAGAAATATTTGATTTTTAAATAAACATTTAAATTAGAGATCGGAATTTTGAAAAAACCGGGTCCGGGAAACGGGTTCTGAAAGTTGACCGGTGAGGGACCGGTAATTCACGTTCCCGGTTGCTTCACAAAAACCGAGAAAAGGGACCAGAAAACCGTGAAACGGGTCCTTGTCCCGGACCCGTTCCGATCTCTAATTTCCATAGTTTATGAATTAAAATTTTGATTTAAATTTATTTTTTAGATTTATTGCATTATTTGCAAATTCTATTACTTTTAAATATGAATAAGGAGGTTAATTTTTTGTTACATATTTTATCAATTTAAGTCATTTTTAGTCACTTTTTGTTTGTGCACAATCAAATGAACCTTTTTCTATTTTGACTATAGATCCAGTTTCTGGAGCTAATTGTCTGGCTTTTCAAGGGAATGAGCTTCAAAATGGAACAATAAATTCAGCAACATTCATTGGTTAATTTTAATGTTTATTAAAATTTATTTTTCAAATAATTTTTCAGGTCAAGACCAAACACATTTGTGTATTTCTTTGGAAGATAAATCATTAATGACAACTCCAATGAAATATAAAAAATCAAAGAAAACTTTAGCTGTTAATTCTACACGATCTTTTCTTGGGTTTAAAGCTAATTTTATTGTTTCTCACCCATCTGGTGGTTTTATTTTTGTTGCGGCTGACAACAAAATTTATATTTGGGAGGTCTGTTTTTTATTTTAGAAATTTTAAAAATTAATTTGTAGCTTAGGGGTGGAAATATGCTTCCTATAATTGACGAACATCTGCGTGAAATTTCTGCTTTTCGAATTTCTACTTGCGGTAGTTTATTGGCAAGTGCTTCAATGGATGGCGCTGTGAAGGTTTGGCTAACTTCTAGGTTTTTTCTTTTTTTTGACTGAATTTAAAAAACATTTTAGTTTAATTACTCAACGCAATGAAGGTTCTCGGATTAGTTCTTCACAATTAGGCGGTCATTCAAGCCATACTTTAGAAGTCAGCGATTTATACATTACTTCCTCTGGAATGTCTGCACGTATATTTTCTGTTTCTGCTGATTATAGTGCTTGTCTTTATTCTTTGGCTACAAATCAAATTCTTTTAAAAATTACTTGTGATCATCCTTTAAGTGCTTGTTGTATGGATGGAGCGGAAAGGAGGTTATTTTTGGCATCGTTTGACGGTCAGATTAGAACAATTGATTTGATGCAATCTGAGGTTATTTTTAATTTTATATTAATTAAATCTGGGAAGAAATTTCATTAGTATTTTAAAAACATTATCTGTTTGACTAAAATGAAAATTTAGTCATTCTTTTTTTCCTTATTAACCCGAAAATCTTTTTTATCTAAAAATTGACATGTAAATAAAAAAATTTTTAATTTTTCAGCTCCCTAAGGACAGCTTCCAAAAGATGAAAGTCGAAAATGAACAAAAAGATAACAATACTGAAAATTCATTTCAATTTCACAATTGCCGAGTACAACAATTATGTACAAATTTAGATGGAAGTAGACTTGCTTCTGGAGACATTTCGGGTGCTTATGCTATTTGGGATGTGACAAACGGGCAGCTTTTACAAAATGGGCAAATGAAAGGTTTTGAAATTTTATAAGCTTTTTGGAATAAGTTAGCTCGGAAAAGTTGGAGTTGTTAGTTTTTCTTTAGGTCGTTGACTAATATTTAATGTTAGATTAAGGATTCGAGTCTCTTTTGTTATTATTTTTTTATACTTTTTCAGGACCCATTATTGTTTTATCTTTTATTTTGGAGAATCTCTCTGCTGCTGGAACTTCTTTACCACCTCTAAACAAGCAAATGTCTACTGGATCAAAATCAAATTTTGCAGTAAAACATGCAAATCTAAATAAAGTTTATTGTGAGGTAATTAAATTTAAATAAATTAAAATATAATTTTTAAACAGAAAAGTTTACAAGAACATTTTGATAAATTGCTTCGAAATGTAAACGCTAGTGCTTTGCGTTGTGAATTTCAATCTTCTGTTGAGGGTACATCAAGAGATAATATTCAACAAGATATTAATTTACATGTAAGGGGTTTATTTAAATATTTTTTAAAAGAAAAAATAATTTTTAGAAAAAAAATAAAAGGAAGAGACGCCAAATAGAAAGTGAGACAACAACAACATTGACACCAACAGAAAATTCTCTTAAAGAGGAAGAAAATGTGGAAAGTGCTGATTTATCTTCAATTGAATCTACAACAAATGTTGAACAATTAAAACAGAGAATAAAAATATTAGAAAGGGAATTAGCCAGAGTTGTGCAAATTAATGCTGAAATTTATGATTATGCGGCAAATTTGACTATTGATGAAGATAATTTGGTTATTTAAATAAATGTTACTTTTTGTTGTTTTTTTTTTGTTATAATCTACAAGGTAATACTGGTCCAGAAAAATCCGGTCCTGCCCGTCACTAGTTACGACGAAGTTCTCTTCCTCCTGCCAAATATGAAGATCCTGAGAAAGCTGTTCCTCTTTTGGGACAGCTTTCTATATGTAAACGAAATTAAAAAAAGTAATTACCAGTTTATTAAATCACAACTAAAATGTTTTATAAAAGACCTTTACAGCATAGGGAATCCTAAAACTGACGTTGGTATAAATAGTTTATAGAAAGCAAACTTTTGACAGAAAAATCTTACAAAGGATGCTTTAAAGGTCTTTATTTGAAGGTTATATAAACAGCAGGATTTAAAACTAACAAATACATTAAATAGATTGAGATTTAAAATAAGATGTTTGGAGCTGTGAATGTAGTATAATGAACAGACAAATTTAATGTGAATTTTAATTTAGATTAAATAAAGATAAAGTACAGATTGTCTAATACTGACCATTTGAGAAGTAAAAATTAATGTCGGAATTTGATATCTTTAATGGAATTATTGGACGATGTAAAATTCATTTGCATTTTTATGATAGTGAAAAAGAAAGGTAAATTAATTTGAAAAATTCCGACTTTAATTTAAATTCAATAGGAATAAATAGAAAAATAAACTAAAAAAATATTTTACGAATCTTTTGGCAATTAAAAGGAATGAACAACAATTTCAGAAACGCCAGCAGTTAGTGTAATTCCCCAGCGCCAAAAGCCAACTCCAGCATGTGGCTTCTCTCTTCGGTTGGCAATTAAAGAGCGTAGCTGATGAAGAGTATCCGAATTTTGATTGGCTCCTATTTAATTTTAATATTTTGTAAAATGTGGAGAGGTGCTCTCATATTCGTTCACGTAGCTACCACCTAATTTTAACGTCGCTAACCTAAATAACTTAAGGAAATTCTCCGACAGTCGAAACGTTATTTACGATTCAAATTCTTATCCCCCCATCTTACCATGTACATAATGTGTTGCTACAGCTAATTCAAGCGCTGGTTCTTTTCCAACATCTGTCAAAGTTAATTTCTTTCCTTCGTTTTTTTCAAGTAAAATCCAAATGATTCTCTCTTTTGGTGCCTCATATCCGTATGTCATAAATACAAAATAAGTTGCGTGTGGTCGATTACTATATGTTTTTGGATTAAATGCTGTTAACGACCAATTTCTCATTTGAAAACCATCAAGTGGAGTTATATGTAAAGATGCTTTGTCTGCCCCTCCAAAAATAGCAATTGTTAAATTAAGCATATTATTTGAAAGAAATTTTCGTTCCAACAATTTCACTTTTAAAGGTCGAGCTATTGGAGGTTCTGTTGGTAGTGGCACCCATCGAGAACGATCGGGAGGAAAAAGTTGATGAATTGCAGTATAATAGGGCATTTGACAATATTCATCAGTTGTATTTGAACAGTCAGGTTTTCCAACACCTTTAAAAATTTTTTGAAAAATTTTGAATACGTAAGTTTATGAGCTGAATATATGCGGAGTTTGAACTTTAATTTGAATTCACTTAAAGAATACCTTGTAAAAAAGTATGTTCAGGTAAATCATCAGCCCCTCTATAATCCAATGCTTGTACAAATAAACCAGTTTCAGAATTAAGTAAATTTCCATCAAATTTAAAAACACTTTTCTTTGCGTGCTTTAAAAATAATTTTAAAAAATTTTAATTTAATTTTAAAAAATAACCAAAGCAATAACACGTCGAAGACGCGGAGATTCTTTTGAATATTTATAAGGAACACCAACATTTGTTGTTGAAATAATTAAAAAACAAAAGAGAGAAACAGCAATCATACATTTTACCATAAAACCAAGTCGGCGACTTACATAAATTAAATTATTCTAAAAAAATATTGTTTACAAAAAAAAATAAAAAAATTATTTTTACCGTAAAAAGCACAAAAGTAAGCGAAACCAACAAAGAAAAAGACATTATAAAAATTTCTGGATTAATTGTATTTCCAAAACGGCCCATTACTGGGACAAAAAAGTCAAAAAGTAATTGTGTATATGTACTAATTAAAATAATTAAAGGAGTTAGACAAATTGATTGAGCCCAAAAAAGTGATTTTGGTGTTATAACTTTAAAATAAATGAAAATTTAAAATTAACTCTAAAAAACCTTTAATAAATCCAAAAATTTTAGAAATTGACAATAACGGATCACGAATGAGTGGGAATAAAACATGAAACATAAATAAATAAGAACTGGCTGAATGAATCCAAGTAAGTATAAAAAGAACTAAAGACCAAAAAATTATTGTAGAATCAAAATGTGCTTTTTCGAATTTCATGGCCATATCCTTAAAATTAAATTTGGAATTTTTTAGTTAATTTTAGGTCAAGGGTTTAGAACCCTTAAATAATATAAAAATTAACTTCAATCCAAAAATTATTTAAAATTAAAAACTAAACAAAATTACCAATTCCATTTTCCCAGCTGAACGAGCATGTGCAAAGAAAGCTGCAGTCATCATTGGCACAATATATAAAGGGAATACTAATTCAGGCATTGAATACCAACTCATTGTCATATTTAATAGACTAATAATTAAAACTAAACAAATCCCAATAAATAACATAGCTCCAAAAGCCATAAATTGATTCATAGAAGCACGCAACAAAACATTAATAGAATAATCACCGTTACGGAAAAGATGTAAATAAATTCGAAATAAGACTAACACCAACACAGTATAGTTGAAGATAAGAGCTTAAATAAATAATTTTTATTTAAAAAAGAAATTAAGGTTCCAGTCAAAAAAGGGGTTTGCGTCTCTCACATTATAAATTGGTAAAATGTCAAAAAATAGATTCAGAAGACTTCGGTCAATTCTTGTTCTCTTATCCTTCAAGGAAAGTTCTATATTTCACCTAAATTACAATTCCCGCAACTTAAGCTATTCGTAGCTCTAATTTAAACTAAATATTCACCTAATTTCATTTCATAAAAAATTGTAAACAAGCCAACAACATCCAAGAAAACCCATTTTGTTCCCTCATTAAAATTTGCTGGTTGTTTTAAATAAGGAGAACGAATTAATGCTCGACTCAAAGCCAAAATATTATCCCCAGAGCGTTGAATTGCACCAATATCAATCAATTCTGGACGATCAAATTCTGTGTGATAAACCCAACCATTTCGAATATAGGCAATGTCAAAACCTTAAATATTTTTAATTTTCAGATAAAAATATTTTAGACAAACCAGAAATCTTTCCATAATCACGAAAAATTCGAAAGTCAGTGTCAGACGGAATTATCCCCAACTGAAAAATTTCTTGTCCAAGAACATTGCAATGCGGATGTGGGGCATTATCCAAATATGTTTTGATTAGCCATGACTCTCCCGGACCAGTCTTTAAAAATAAAATTAAAAGAAAAAGAGATGAAAAAAACCTGAAAAAGTAATTCTCTTCCACCAGAACCACATCCTTCTAAATTAATAAAAGCTCTCAAGGAATGTCGCCAAGGGTGATTGACAATAAAACCGTGAGAAGCCTGAAGGAAATTCTCTTCGGCTAAAGTTAAAAAATATTTTTTTAAAAATAATTAAAAAAACCTCCATTAAAAAGAAAAAGAATGTCATGTTCTAAAGGCTCATTTAAGTGCGCAAAAACTTCCAGAATTTCCATCATAATAGCACAAGAAACGGCGTTATCTGTTGCACCGGGAGTGTCAGGTAAGGTGTCAAAATGACAATTAATTAAAATCGAAAAATCTGTGGGTCCTTTCTTTGGACCGATTCTAGCAACAATATTTGTAACTTTATGATAACAAAGAGTAAATACAGACAAAAATTTGAGGTCATAACAACCAGTTGGCCTTTGAATATCCATTTCCTAAACAAAATATTGAGATAAAATTATCGTTCGAAGTCCAAAACGGAGGTTAGTTTATTTAAAGCATATAGGTCCTATTAACTTTTTTCGCCAATTATCCAACGATAATTTAACAGGGACCCCGAGATCCCATGAACCTTATTTAAAAACCAAAATACTTTAAAGAACATACAATTCTATTAACATCATTCCAGTTAACAACGTCCTTCAAAGAATTAATTTTCTCTGTAATAATTCGAAAAGCATGAATCTAAAAATAAATTCAAAAAGTTCAAAAAAATTTAAAAACCTCCAATGCTTCAGAACCACTCGGTCTTGGCCCAAGATTTGCTATTTGAGTTAAAAATTGACGGGCACGCATTTCAGAAAAATGTTCATATTGATTTGCTGGTTTGACATCTGGCATTTTTAGATCAAGTAAAACAACTTGAAATATAATTTTGAAAATGAAAAACATAATAACAAACCAAGTCCATATAATGAAGCCAACATAGCAAATACAAATAACCAATGAAAGAAACCGAGCTGACCAGACTTAATTTAATGTTTAATAAAGGAATCTTTAACGAAAGGTAAAAAACTACTAACGCACCAAAGCTGGCATCAATAAATTTAAAAAACAAACCAAGAGATAATAGGGAACCTTCTTTTGCTCATTTTCACTAATCAATGCATCATTAAATTCAGAGTGTAAATATTCCGTAGGCCTAACAACACTCCTTCTTGATCGTAATTGACCCTGCTCTGCTGCCATAACTTTAACTTTAGTTCATTTTGAAAAAATTCAAGTTAAAAATGAAATTCTAGTTAATATTAAACAGAATATTTTTAAAAAGTATTAACAATGTATTTTGAAAATTTATCAAAAGTTAAAAATAACTCGACAATTTTACCATCAAATATCGAAAAATTTAAAAAAGAAAAATAAATGGAAAATCGTTTATAATTTCTGTCTAAACACATCAAATCATACAATCAAAATATTTTCATCGATACAAAAATCAATGACGGCGGCTATTAGAAAATAATAAACAAAATTTATAAAAATAAAACAAACCGTTCACGACTCGAATCACGACGAGACGATTTCCGTTCGCGGGAACGCGAACGACGACGTTCTTTATGCGAACGACTCTTAGACTTGGAACGGCTAAGAAATTTAAAAAAAATCGATGAAAGTTAAATAAGAATACCTTCGACTGCGATGAGACTTTTTCTCGCGTGAACGAGAACGCTTTCGTTCACGACTACGACTTCGCCCTCGTTGATTACGACGTTCACTGCGCTCCTTCTCTTCAGCAAGCTTTTTTAAAGTACGACGCTCATCAATTGAATTCTTAAAATTAAAGAGATTCATTTAAATAAAAAATTAAAAGTAAATCATTTTTCAACTTCAACCTTCATTTCTGCATATTTTTCACGAATTTCTACCATACCCAAATGCATTTTTCCTCCATAATGATCTTGCAAACGAGTTTCATGATCCATAACGTTCAACTGAGCGCTACAAGTTTCACAAACACGCAAACGCTGCAGCATAGATGGATGTATCCCTTTCATTTCAGTCTTAATTTTTAAAAATATTTTTGATAAAATTTTAAATTTTACGTCAAGTTCGCGTTTTCTCTTCTTCAATTCGTCCACCTTCCTCGATAACTCGACTGATTCGTTTATACGCCCTTCATTACCGAGAGCCTCAATTTGGACTAAAGCAACCCCAATTTGCTCGTTCACTTCAAATATCTTTTGGGTCTGAAAGTTAAAAAAACGTTTCACGTAATTTAATTAAAATAAACGAACTCGATGTTGCTCAGTAAGGTCTAAATTATTTTCAGCATCTCTTTTCACTTTATCCTGAAGTCTTCGAATTTCCTGATCCACAATACAAATTGCGTCCTCGAGCTCTTCGTAGGCCTAAAATTTGTTTAATGATTCGGACCCATTTAAAGGCTAGAGCGCCGCAAAAAACAAAATTGACATACAGACACACTAAATGCTTTGTGTGATTGAGGAAAATGTCAACAACACTTGTCTCTCCCTTGATTTCAGTTTGCTATAAAATTAAATTTTTCTTACCCGTCAGCAATGTCAAATCCTGATTTGCCTAAGGGGAACACCTCGAATCACAAAAATGGGTCAATAATTTCTCAACCTATCTCCTTATTAAATGCCTACCTCAACGTCGTAGAACAAATCCCTTTTTTCTTGTGCTTTATTATATTCTCCCTTATGTGCCGGTTCATGCATCTTTCGACATGACATCATTGATTCAAGTCTTGTATCCGAAAGTAATTCTCTCGGACAGCAACCCTGTAGATAAGAACGACAAACTGAATGATGGTCAAAAGGTGGTAGTTTACGTCCTTCCTCTTCAGCCCTTTGCTGGCCCATCAGCTAAAAAATAAAATTAAAATAAATTTAAAAATAGAAAAACCTGAGCTATCATTTCACGCATAACATCAGTCATTTTGATAAATTTTTTTATTAATCTGTAAATAAGAAAGATGAAAATCTAAAACGTTGGAAAATAAATTTATAAATCAATTAAATTGACGTTTACCCAAGTTTGTTAGTTTTAGAGGGATGACCATTTTAATTGTGACGAAACGGGTAGTTAAATACATAATGCCAAAAAAATTAAAAAATAAGCTTAAATAAAATTTAAAATTTGCTGCATGTTTTTTTTTCACGATTTTTGAAATTTTTCTTTTATCTTTTAATTGAAATTTCAGATTTTAAAAACTTCTATAAATTTTAATGGCTGGCTTTTTCTCTAATCCATTTCAACAAAAGAAGCCTATTAAAAGAAGGAGCCGTGTCTTGAATGGTTTGGATTGTATTGTTCCTAATTCTGAGGAAGAACTTGCTCTACACCCAAAGAAACTTGATGAGGTTTTTTTAAATTTATTTTAAATTTTTTTCAAAAATTTAAAAAATTTTTATAAACATTTTCTTTTAATTTTTATAGTTAAAACAATGGTTCAGAACAAAAATGGGCATTTGTCGGGTTGGTTATTTTTTGTTTAAATTTATTTAACTTTTCTCTAAAATTTATTTTTAAGGGATCAAAAACTTTATTGCTAACAGGCCCCAGTGGTTCTGGAAAAAGGACAGCAGTAAGGGTTATTGCAGCAGAACTTGGAATTGAAGTAACAGAATGGGATTGGACAGATGATTGTAATAATTTAAATAATAATCGAAGACGTTCTTTCTCTGCTGAAGGATTTGCACAATTTTTGAATGATACACAATTTAGTTCAATTCAACGAATGTCTTTAAAACATCGATTATTACTTATTAGTCAATTGCCTAGCGAATTTTTAAAGTTTGTTTTAAAGTTTCTTTAATTTTTTTGATCCATAAAAGTACCGAAAAAAATATTTTTGAATTTTTTGTCTTTAAATAAATCTGAAAAATTAATTTATTTTAGTGAACCAAAACTTTTACATCAATTATTGGCCAATAAAATTTCCCTTTCTCGATGTATAATTGTTTTTGTACTTCCAAATGTGGATTCTTGTTGGTCTCTTAGCCCTTTTAGAATGTAAATATTGAAATTTATTTTTTAAAATTATTTTTTTAAAGTTTTCCTCAATCAATTTTGGATGTGTTAGGAATTGAACATATTAAATTTAATCCAATTTCAATTTCCCTTTTAACTAATGCCCTTCAAAGAGCTTCCAAAAAACTTTGTAATTCACAACAAGGAATTGATGTTAAAAATATTGCTAATTCTTCCAATGGTGAATTTCTTGTTTTTTTGTAAATTTTAAATGATTTATGAGGAATTTTAACTAATATTTATATTTTAAATTTTTACCACGAATTTAGAAAAATAGAATTTCCTTTTCTAATTCAACAGAAATTTTTTAGAATGATATTTTAATTTTTTTTAGGGGATATTAGACGCGCAATGAATTTATTACTTTTACATTATAGACAACAAAATTCCAAAATAATTGAAGGAAATTCGGCAAAACGTCCAAGATTAGAAAAATTATCAAATAATAATTCTCAACAACCTTTAATTTCCTTCTTTTCTTCTCATTTTGCTTCAGATCAATTAGAATTATTTCATTTTATTGGAAAAATAATGTATGCAAAAAGGGCTGAAAAGCCAACAGAAAAATGGTTGGAGAATGAATCTAAATTAAATTTTAATTTAAAAAGAATTTATGGACGTCCATTACCTCCAAAAGATGATTTAAATAAATTAATTGAAACATCTCCAATATCTCCACAATTGGTTTGAATTTAATTAATTTTTTCAAATAAAAAAATCTACCTAAATATTTAACATTATTCTTTAAACTTTTATCTTAAAACATCAAAAATTGAAGAATTTTTTTTTTGTAATTCATGTCATTTTTTGGATATATAAAGCAATTTTAACAAATATTTTTAGAAAAAAATTTTTTTCTAATATTTTTATTGTTAGTAAATTGACTCAATTTTTTTTTGATTTTGAAAATATAAATAAATAATAAACAAAACCTTGATTATTATTTTGGACTAATTTTTCTAAATTACTCTCTTTTCATTTAAAAATTAAATTTTAGTTATCTTCTTATTTATTTGAACACGAACCTCGTTTTGGCCCATCAATTAAATCAATTTCTAAAATTCAACAAATTATTTCCAAATTAGATGTGCTTATTTCAAGTAATTATGAACAAAGAAATCAAATGGAAAAATATATGATTGATGTTGAGTTTTTGGGAATTTTTAAAATAAAATTACTAAATTTTAGTTATCTGTTCGGGCATCACTTTTTCACAATTATCGACCATCTACTGGAGGTTTTGTTTTTTTTTAATTTTTTAAATAAAATTTAGATAAACAAAAATGGCGTTTTTATCAATTTGAAAAGCCTCGTCTTTATGATTTGAGAATGCAAAGAATGGAAATAAAATCGAGAATATCTGCTTTATATCCAATTGGGAGAACTTCGGATATGTCTATTTTGTGAGTCAATATTTTAAATTATATCGACCATCTACTGGAGGTTTTATTAATCTTCTTCTTAATGAAGAAGAAGATTTAAAAAATATATATTAAATTTTGGGAAGTAAGGAGGAATTTGGGGGAATGTTCTTTTGAAGATGAATAGGGACAGAGAATCTTCCAATTTTTTCGGATCAAAATTGTTGACAAAAATTCTGCCACCAATTCTAATTCTTTAAAAAATATTTATCTTTTTTTCAAAGATTACTTTCATTACTTCCACGTATTTCTTCAATTTGTGTAAATTATAGTCAAGCAGAATTATTAGAAAAATTAAGTCTTTCTTCTAATCGTTTATTTAAATTTAAAATTTGTGAAAATTCTACCCCAACAAATTCTTCTTTTTTACAAAAAAACGAAGATTTATCAACAGCAGCAACAAATGAAGAAGATTTAATTAAAATGACAGAACAACTTTTTGAAGATAATAATTTAATTAAAGAAGAATTTCAAAATAATAATTCTTTAAATAATTCTTTTAATTCATTTTATTCAATTTCTTCATTTTTTGATGATGAAGAAGGGGGAGGAGGAGGAGGGGGGAAAGAAGGAGAAGAAGAAAATGATGGATTTTGTTATGAAATTAATGAAGAAGAAGATGAGGAGGTGGATAATGGGGATTTTGATTTTTAAAATTAGTTTTTTTGATAATTTCACAAAAAATTATAGGTAATTTTAATTTATTTATTTTACAAGAAAAATGTGTGAATTTATTTAAATAAAAAATATTTTTATTTTTTCTAAATAAAATCTAAAAGTCTACAAAACTACTTTAATTACATAGTAGGTATTTAATTTTAAATTTACTAACCCTATAATCTTCCTTTTATGTCTCGATAGCTTATAAAAAATAATTTTTGCCTTCTTTTTTTATCCGGATAATTGGTTAACATAAATTTGTTTTTTATTAACAAAAAGAGATGATTATTTAGTTGATAATTTCTTTCTAAAATTTTTATTTCCAAAAATATATGTATATCTACTATATTCTCTAAAAATATATATACAAGTAAAAACATTTACTACTACTACTATTTATTTCCCCCTCCCCATTTTCTGTGCAAATATATATGAATGGCCTTAAAGTAGTCAAAATGTTCTCAAACATTCTAAAAGTATCGGACATCAATAGCCATCACAAAAATAACAAGTTCGAGAATCTTTTTTGTTTGTTCTCTCTATGGCCATTTCCTTTCTTTTACTCCCTCGATTTGTCTAATAAATAAAAATAAATTTTTATAAAATCAATGGGAAAATATTTTAATTTAAATTAATTTTTTTTTAAATTTATTGTTTTTTTTAATATTTTCCCATTGATTTTATAATATTTTTATATTAACAAAATACTAATAAATAAATATATAAAAATTGCCCCAAAAACTTTTAACGGCCAATACCAGTTTTTAAGAGCATCAAAAGCACTTTTGTGTGTTTGTGTTGCTTACTCTCGCATTAAATTCACTAAAAAAATCAAAGTCTTATCCCTTTACTATATACATTGTTCTACTTTATATTTTTTATTGTTCTTTTTACTTTAACTTAACGCTTTTTTGTGCAAAAATTGATTTTAAAAAATAAAAATATTTTAATTTAAAATTAATTTTTATTGACCTTTTAATTTTTAAGGGTTTTAAGTAGGAAATTATTTTTTAATTTAAAGCTTAGAAAAAGGCTATGGTCTTATAGTCATTGTTCTGGTCTGTTTAAAATAAGCTTCTGTCTGTTCGAACAATTTGGACCAGTTAGCCATTTAGGTTAGTACTTCTCCGAAAGAGAGAGACCTCTCTTTCTCCGAAACCTGTCTCAATAAATTCTGGTCATTCCTTGAAGGGTCATTCCTTTCCTTTTTAAATTTTTATTTAATTTAAAAAATTAAAGAATTTTCGGTTAAAAAAATGCCATCTCCTCAATGGTCCGAACAATTTGGATCAGTTAGCCATTTAGGGGTAAATTCAGAATCTGCTACTACAAATAAATTTCAAATTAATTATCTTCTTTTACCCAATTTTATAATTCATATTGTTGGATTAGCTGCTTTGTGGGCACTTTGGTATTATTTAAGGTAATTTAATTAAATTACATAATTAATTATTTTATTATTTAAAGACTTACAAATGTATTTCCGTAAGTTTTTTTAAAAAATTATAAAATAAAATCTGTATACTACTGAAATTATAGAATATAAAATATTAGGGGACAAGAATTAGTTATAATTAAAATAAAAATTTAATTGTTGGACATTTTCACATTGATTAAGATTTTTAAAAAATTAACGAGAATTTATATAATTAATTAATTAATTTCTAAACTGAGAATTTAAAAAAAATAAAAAATCTCAACCTTTCAAAAAAATATTATTTACTCGAATAATAATTAAATTCACAGATATCACCACAGAGTTTTTTATTGTCGAGATGTAAATTTATTTAAACCAAACTTTCAACCAGAAGATTTTGAGGCAAATTAAATTAATTTAAAAAATAAACTTTTAAATTAAAGGTTTATGTTTCTTATCCACTCCTTTATTTGCTTGCCTTTTTAATTCCTCCTATTGTTGTAAGAGAAAAAGAAAAAATTATTTTTTAATTAAAATATTTTTTAGATTCTAATTGGTGAATTAATGTTTTGGTAAATAAAATAAATAAAAATATCTTTTTAAATTAAATTTAAAATTAAATTAAAAAGGCTTTTCTCAACAAAACCTCGAAAAAGTAAAATTTAAAATAAATTAATTTAAATTAAAATAATTAAATTTAAAAGTTGTTTATGCAACTTGTGGAGAGTGTAAAATAGCTTTAATTACAAGAAGAATATTTCGATTTATTTGTATGTTTTTTGAGAAAACTAAATTTATTTTTTATTAATTTTAAAAAAGCTATATTTATGTTTGGTGCCCTTGTTACGCAAATATTTGTTGACACAATTAAAGTTTAAATTTAAAAATAATTATTTTTTCCTTTCAAATAGTTATTAACTGGTTATCAACGTCCATATTTCCTTTCTTTATGCAATGTTTCACTAGCGTATATTTTTAATAATAATTTTAAGATTTCTTTTAATAATTATTTAGTTCATGTACAGCTCCATTAGAGCATTCACCTTCTCCATCCCCACATTTAGCTTGTAATTATCGAAATGCAGATGGTAATAAATAGATTATTTTAATGAAACTTAAATAGAATTAGGACTTCATAGAAAGAACGAGAATTCCTTATGAAGTTGAAAAAACAAGGGGATGGGGCTATTAACCACCTTTTCCAAACTTCGGATTGGAGTGGGAAATTAAAGGAAATTTAATTAGAAGCGAGAAAAAGTAAAACTTGGTAAATGGACTTTTGTTTGGAAAACCTACAAAATTCGAATTATTTTTAAATAGGCACCAGTTCCAACATACCCCAAAAATATTCAACTAAATTTTAAACTTTAATTGCCTCAAACAATCTTTTAATTTAAAAAAATATTTTTAACAGAATTGAGATATGCCTGGCTAACATTTCCTTCATTACATGCAGCATTTTCTAGTTATTCTGCTTGTTTTGCATCCGTGAAAGATTAAAATATTTAATTTATTCAATTAATTTTTTAGTGTTATATTTATTATATGATTAATCTTCGTGGTGCTCCTTTATTAAGACCTATGGTTTTTCTAAAAAAAATTTTGGAAAAAAAATAATTAAAATTTTAAAGTTAATTTTTGGTTTATTTGGTATGGCTTTAGTTGACTCATTTTCGAGAATTAATGGATATAAAAATCATTGGAGGTATTTCAAAAATAATTAAAATTAAAAAATATTTTTTAGAGATATTTGGGTTGGTTGGATTATTGGTTTTGTAATTGCTATTTTTCTGGTAAAAAAAGAAAGAATATTTTTTCTAAAAAATATTTCCTTTTTTATTTATAGTGTAATTGTGTTCTTCGCTTTCAAGAAATTTACTATACATTTTATCGTTCCCAAACACAACCCCCTCCCCCTCCTCAAGAACCAGAAGCACCTCCACCTCCTTTCTTTTCTTGGTTCCGTCTTCCACGAGTTCGTGCTCCGTCAGTTAAAGAAGAATATGTGTATGTGGATATTTTTTAAAATAATTTAAAAATAAAATTTATTTTTTTAAAAGTGTTTATGAGGAGGATGTCCCAACAGCCCCAACAATATCCCCACCAACCGCCGGCACTTCTCACAGAAAAAATAGAGACAGAACATATGAAGTAACAACAACTACAGAATCTTTTCATCGAACAATAGTACCTCCAGGCACATCACAACAACAAAGAAATAATAAAAACGGAGGAAATAATAATGGAGGTAATGGTGGGGGTGGTGGAGGTGGTGGATATGCAGCTCCGTATTAAATAAATGAATCTTTTTTAAATAATTCTTTAAAATAAATTGTATTTTTTTTTAATATTTTAATTTTTGGACTTGGGAGATTGAACCTAGGAAAATCTAAATGTAAACATAGCCTATTTTTAATCATAAATTCAAGGAATACTTAAAAATACTATTTAGGAATTAATGAAAAAAAACTTAAAAATCCTTCACTTAATATTCAATTATAATTTAAAATAAATCACTTCTTTTATAGCAGAGAATAAAATACAAATCAGAAATTTTAATTTTAAATGACAATAAAAGAAATCTCCAAAAAACCCCCTCCTCTCCCAAAAAATCTCTGTCAATAATTCCCCACTTCCCAAATTAAAAGAGGGATTCCATATTTCCTCGTGAGGTCGCACCAAAAGCTTGAGTATTTCGACGGGATGAAACGTCCAAAGAACTGAGGCCACGTGGTGGACCTTTTTGACCTTTAGGTCCGTCTGCTGCTGAACCTGTTGCTTCGATATGTTTTAATCCCTAAAAATGAATTCTTTAAGTTTTTGTTTGTTTTCCTAAATAGTGACTTAATTAAGTGGTCAAGTTTCAGTTAATTTCCCTCAAAAAATTAAAATAATTCAACAAAAATTATAATTTCACCTTCATATTCTTTGCATTAGCCCTTGCATTAAAATTTTTCCATTTATTTTTTTCAACTTCCTTTTGTTCTTCCATTTGTTTTCGACGTTGTTCCTTTTTCTGTGCCCGAACTTTTCGACGTTCTCTTTCCAAATGCCATTCTTTTTTCATTGCATTTTGTTTTCCCGTTTGGAAAATATATTTCTTTTTCTCTTCTATTGGTGCTATACTTAAATCTGACAGACGAACCATGTCTTTTTTGCCAGAATCTTTTTTAAAAAATTAAAATTTAAAATAAAAAATTATTTAAATTTTTTTAAAAATAATTTTAGGACATCAAAATAATTCAAAAAAGTTACAGATATTGTAAATCCTTACTTTAGTAGAGTAGGGGGTCCGGTCCGAAAGATCGAGTCAGCCATCGAATTTTGGTTCGAAAAAAACGACTCGAACGTCGGCCTGACTCGAAAACCTAACCCTAATCCTTACAATTAGAATGGAGCTAACACTGACTCACCAAAATTTCTAAGTAAATTCACCAAAATTTTTCTAATTAAATAGAAAAGCACGAGGTTCTTAAACTTTAAAAAAACAATTAAAATTTACTTGCAAAAGTAATAGCAACTTTATCCTGAGAAATTCCATCAATTACAGCTACCTGCTTTTGTCCACCTTTACTTGTTGCCAAACAACGATCACCAACCTTTTATTTTTTTAAATTAATTTCTAATTAATTTTCAAATTACTTACTTTCCAAACTAAACGTTCTTTGTTTGATAAACTAGAACTACTTGTAGTTAAAACTTCTGAAGGTGTATTAGTTACTAATTCTTGTTGAAGAATAATTATTTCATTGAGATCCTCTTTAAGTTTAATTAATTCTTCATTATCCGGTTCAGCAATTAAAGCTGCTTCCACCTACATTAAAAAAATTTAAGAATTAATATGGAAGGAACAATGTTTGCTCGGGGCTAAACCTTTACTTTTTAAAAAAGATAAATCTGAGTCCACCCCCGAATACCTACAACTTCTTAACTTTTAATTTCTTTACAATTTCAATCTGTGGAGTTGGCGGGAAATCCACCGATTAAAATTGTAAAAAAAGCAAATACGTGTTGATCAAAAAGTTGTAGGTCGTAGAGTATAGGTCTTCAGGTTTGACCCTAATAAATCTACATCAGACCAGCTAATTTATTTATTCAAAATTAAACTCTAATGTCGATCACCAAAATGATTATGAAAAAAATAAAAAGATAAACCTGCTGAAGTTGGATTTTGTAATTTTCCAGTTCACTTGAAGCATTCATTTTTATTTAAAAAATAATTTCTAAAAAATAATCGAATAAAAAATTAATTTAAAAAATTTTAGATAAAAAGGAATACATATCCAAAAACTTATCAATAAAGAATAATTTTCAAAAATTAATTTTATACAACAAAAAAAATATCAAATCTCCATTCCATTTTTTTCTGTTTTAACTAAATTTTCTCCTTTCTCATTTTTTGTTGATTGTTGTTTCCACAAAGTATCTGCTTTTATTTCTTCTTCTGTTTCTCCCATTCTTTCTGTTCTAGTCTTTTTTCTATTTAAACGCCAAATCTTTTTTAAAAATTAAAAATTATTATTTTCAACAATTAAAGTTTACTTGAATATAAGATTCAGCCAAAGTAATTGTTTGAGGAAGAATTTCTTTAACATGCAAATCTTCCAATTCGAACCATTTTGATGTTCCCTAAAATTAAAATTTTATAAAAACTATTGATTGTGAGTAGAAAAATTGTTTAATGAAAAGTTGAAACATTTTAGAATTCCCTATCAAGAATCCTATAAGGAAATCCACAATTAAAATATCCAAAAAACCCAAAAACAACCAAAAATAAATTCCAAAAAATTGTTTACCTCGTGTACTAGTTGTACTCTATATCGACCAATATCAACAGCAATGTCTCCTTTATTTGCCTGTGTTTGAGGCTTTCCATCATGAACAACATTAGAAATTAAATCATAAGTTGTATATTTATGTTTATCACGAACATCTTCAGCCAAAGAATCATAAAAATCGACATTACTAAAAAGAATTTTTTTTATTTTATTATTTAAAAAACCTGATAGGAAAATTAACAATTGTTGGATTCTTCTCAATAAACCATTGATTTTTGTGAAAACGATCATATGTAATAATTAAATATTCAGGAAGATGTAAAAGTTCAAAACGTTTAATAAAATTGTCTTTGTAAGTCTTATATTCCTAAAAATTAAATTTTAATTGACTGAATGATTATTTTAATAATATGAAAGATTTTAAAGGAAAATTGTTAATTTTTGTGTTGTGCCAAAATGGTTATTAGAAATAAAAAAAACCTTTTCAGTAACTCCATTAAATTTAGTCAATAATTGTGCCAACGGAACTTGAGGAATTATATTTTGCATTCTTTCATCCAAATATAATGGAGCTGGAGGTAAATCGAGCGCCAAAGATAAAAATGGAAGTTCTTTAACTTGTTCTCTATATTCTTCAGTTTCAGAAAGTGTTCTTCTTGATTCATCACTAGCATCTACAGGAAGTACTTTACGCATGTATTGTCTCATTCGACCTCGAAAAATTTGGTAAACAATTGAAGAGGAAGTTTTGCCAGTTCCATTTAATGCCATATGTAAAGTGTTTAAAAACCACATCAAAAATTCATTTGCATCGCCTAAAAAAGAGAAAATTTTAAATCTTAGGTTAAATAAGTTAGACTTTCCTTATTTAAATCTTATAGAATTTAAAAAACTCACCTTGTCTAATAATTTGAAACTTTTTGTCACTGCATAAAACAACAGCTTGTAACATTTCATGAGGAGAAACATGCGCCTTAAAAGCTTTTGGATCCCATAACTTTCTAATTAATTCACCAAAACGTTGGGGCAAAAGTGCCAATTTATCGCCAGGAGGTCGTTTGATGTGAGAATAATTGCTTTCACGTAAAAAATAATCTCGTAAAGGAGGAACGTGAGAAAATGCATGAAATATAACATTTGTGTAGTCATTAGCTTTGATGTTGTTTAGACCAATAATGCCTGGATAGTAAAGAGTGCCATCCCAACAACGAGACATTTTTGTATTTTGCCCTATATATTTAATATGTTTAGGAGTGTAGGTTGGCTTTAATACATACTAGAAAAATATTTAGATTAAAAATATATTTATAAAAAAATACTTTAATATCATCTAGAGATGGATCAATAACTTCATAATTGTCAGGAAGACAATAAAACTTCAAAGTAGCCAAGTTTAGAAAAATACGATGATCTGTGTCGAGTGAATGTGTATATGCGTGAGTATTTGTTCCTCTGCCCTAAACGGTTTTTTTGTTTCAAAAATTCCATTTAAAAATTACCTGAAAATATTTCCCACAAACCATACAAGCATATACATTAATGTGTGAAAGAGAGATTGAACATAGCTTTTCAAAGTCAAAATCAAGTACTCCTCTAAAAAATTATTTTTAAATTAAAAAAATAAAATTAAAAACCTATCAATTGTATCAAGATAAGGGCAATGTCTACTTGGTTGCTCTTCTTGTGCCTTTTTTAAACACCATACAGGGGCATCAACTTCTCCATTATCTACACTATTTGTAGGCTCAAGTTTAGGTTTCTTGCTTGGTTGTTCATCTTCAAATGGAGATTCATTGTTTTTAATTCTCCTTTTTGGAATAACAATATCAACCATTTTTTGTTAATACTACTATAAAAAATAAGTAAATACAAAAAAAATTAAAATCCAGATAATCTCAATTTACTTCAGTTCAAAAATCCTTCAGACTCAGAGATAATATTAGAGATTGAAAGAAATCAAGAAATAATGAGAAAAATTTTATTTCATTTTGGTAATTATTCGTTTGGTAGGCTCACCATCTTTAAGTCAAAAGGATTTTACGTCAATGAACATTACGTCAACGGACTTTTTGACAATGAAATTTGGAAAACACTAGAACGGCTCACAATATTAATATTTTTTTGTGACGGATGCATAATTAGCTCCCTCAGGTGATTAGTCAGTTTTTTGGGGGGCAAAATGTAATTTGATAAAAAATTGATAAACAAAAGCTTAAAAGTTGGAAAACTTTAGAAATTATTGTTAACCTTCCATATACTCCACTAACAGTAGGACACTGCTTAAGAATTTTACCTCAGTTACTTGAACAACATTCACGTTATTCGAACCTAATGAGAAGTAGCTATAGCCCAGTCCAGCTTTAATACCAACACGCGAGTTACAAGTCTTCGAAAAATTAAAAATTTCACCACAAAATTACAGACCACAAAATCAACCGCTTATTTCAAATTTATAAAACTTAAGGACACAAGAACAAAAAAATATTTATTTACATTCAAGAGAAACAATACTATGTA